TCTCTTCTGTCTCAAAATGTGCTTTTGTCATCGTGATCATCGTAGGAAAATCGTACGACCGTCCTGATATCTTGTCGTAGTAAAAATCATTTGCTCTTCCTTTGAGCATAATTGAAAATGCCTTGTGGTACTCTGCCTCGTGCAATCCAACCTTTGTGCAGCAGTCGTAAAATACTTGGAGTTTGATATCCAAAATATCGTACAACTCCCCTCCGTACTTTTTACTATCATGTGAATAGATCTTCATCAAGTCAATCAGGAATTTGTTTGAGTTCGTCCGAATTCTCTCGTACCTCGGATTCTCTGTACGATTCCCCTCGTATCTTGGATCTTCTGTGCGAGTCCTGGCCTCGGTGTCTCTTTGTCCAAAGCTGTTCTGTTCCCTTCGCAATATTGGATGTTCAGGTGCATTGAATCGCGAGTAAGGTCTCGTTTCTGGAAAAGGAGTATTGTCTCGCGAGTCATGAGGTATAGGGGTATATCCTCGTCCGACATCCTCTTGAAACATCGTCTGAAATGCTGGGTTCCTGGCATTTGGAGTTTGGTTTTCCGTGTGTTGCCTTTGATCTTGATCGTCTTGTAATAGAGTTCGGTTTTGCGTTCCTTGGATCCTGTCTGAATTTTCTTGGATTTCTTGTTCTCTTGGTTCCAATTCTCTGGTGTTGTCCCTTGTACGATTTCCTGGGGCAGCTCTTGATTGATTCACAGGGTTCTTCTCTGAATTGAAGATTGCGTTTCTCTGTTTAAGATGAGTTTGGATTTCCGCATCAGTCCATTCATGTTGGTTCTCTTCTTGAAGGACCCCGTTGAGTACTGCTGCGTAGGAAAGTCCGTCTACTGGTTTAACCCATACTCCGTTCTCTGTAAGGGTCGTACGAAGCTCCTGGAGTGCTTTCCTGCTCCCGATCTTGAAGAGTTCCAGAGTCCAATCTTCAAAGTGTTCCCGAAACTCAGTCCAGAGTTCTTTGTCCTGAAGCTTTTCGTACTTCTCGTTCTCGAGTAGTAATAAGATATGCGTGTTGACTTTCTCTTCTGTGTGATTCTCGGGATTCTCTGGGTCAAAGTTCCTTCCCCATTGCTCTTCTAACAATGGGTATCTCCTGTCCTCCTGTTGTCCTGGTAATTTCGCCATTTCTGGCTGTGTACGAAGCTCTTGGTCGTGTTCGTACGATAACGCTTTTGGCGGTAGATCTCTTCCTGCTTTCAGTCCAATTCTCCCGTACGTCTCAAGTGGCCGTGATAGACGCAGAACCTCCAATTGTCGTCCCTCTAGGGCTCGGTAGGGAAGACGACAGCTGAATATTCCTTGAATATTACTTCACAGTGTGAAATAATACTCTCTAGCACAGTCGTACGAAAAAGGATTCGTGAGTCTCCGATCTCGCCGTTTCTGTCTCTTCTGGTAAAGTTGATACCTAGCTGTTCCGTGGTCTTTCAACCACTGATCAGTGTTGATACGACTGTACAGGTTTGTTCTCTCTCTCTCTCTCTCAAAGTGTGACACAAAGTAAGCGCGCTGATTCTCGATTGTATTCTGTGTTTTTTCCTCCTATCTACAATTGCTTCGGACGATGGGTAAAAGAGTGTGGGTGTCTGATACGAAACACGTATCAGATGCGTGGGGAAAAACGTGACATAGGAAAACGTGACCTGCACCGCTGAAAACCCGAATGCCAGCATTCCAACAATTCTAGTATTCCCAACAATTAAATATATATTTATTATTAAAATCTCTATATATAAAAATACCTACTTTTAGTATATCTAAAATCCTAAAATAAACTTAAATATTTATTATTAATTATTCTCTTATTATTAAATCTATAATATTCTTTTATAAATACTCTAGTTGGTATATATACTTTAGAAGTATAATTCTAGAATATTAGAGTACTTATACTTTACTAAGTAAATATTATTTATTCAAATATTAAATTAAGTAAATTAACTCCTTCTTTATATAATAACTTCTCTTATATACTAGGTATAGAATAGAACTTAAGGCCTTAGATCTATTATTTTTTAGAGGATTTGTAATAGTAGTATAGTAAGACTAAGTAAGTAAAAGTTAAAAATTCTCAGAGAGTTTTAGAAAAGGAATTAGGAAATTATAAATAACAGAAGTAGTTATAGCTAACGCTATAATAGTAGGAACTCTATAATAAATTAAGTATAAGTTATATATAAATAAGTATTATCTTTAAAATAGGAGAGTTTAAGAGATTTTAATTTTTCTAATTTTTTAAAGTTCCCGGAGTACCTAAATTAAGTAGTCGGGAACACTTAATCTAGGTAGTAGAACACCTAGAACAGGTGCTCCCGTGCTCCTACTAGGACTCGCGAGGGGAAAAGCATCGAACAACGTGTTACGGAGTTGGAGGGACTGGGGTCTGGTCACGTGTAGCACAGCACGTGCGTGCCGCTGGCATCCTGTATTTAAGATTCCGTTCCTCTGGAACTCTCTTCTCTCCTCACTTAGTTGTTCGCTCAATACAGCAGTTTCCGTTTGACTCCGTATTCATCACAGCAAGCAGTGGTTCACTCCACACGGTTACACAACGAATCTCTTTGTAACTAGTGTGCATCGTCTCTTAGGAGCAAAGAGGATAACAATCTATTAGTCCAATCCAAACTAAGCTTATTGAACTGGATTTATGATTGTTTTATACTATAGACACCCTTTTGTTTAAGGACTCGAAGGGCGGACTCGCTTAACTCCTTGTAATATTCTTGTCTGGGTACTTCGTGGTTCCAACATTTCGCCAAATTACAATATTTGTGAGCTTTAATCAGAATGAACAAAATGCGATTTAACCATCGTTAGGGGGACAGCGAGTAGCTTTGTCGTCCAAAAGTCTCTACTATTTCTACAAGTCATCTTCCTTTTACTCCTTGCCATTTTTTCCATGCTTTCAATGGTTGCGTTCTAATGGGCTCGCGCCGGGGTCGGATCCGAGATCGGTCATTTTTGCGACGCGTCTGGCGCGTCTTCCTGATCTCCCCATGCAAGCACTTTAAACCAGCACAGTAACGACACAGCACCAGATTGTTTTTGAGACCAGAGCCTAACCCCTCAAAATGCCTCCAAAGGCAGCACAATCGCAGACGCCTCGGCGGCGCAAGGAATTGCGAGATACACATACAAAAAACATCCTCAATAACGCGCTCGACTCGGACTCGGAGCCAGAAGAGGTCGATGAAGGCCCCTGGATCCCCGTTCTCGAAAAGAATAAGATTGTTGCGTTTCAGAGGAAGAAAGATGGGCTAGAATGTCGAGTTGGAGATTGTGTCGTATTGGTAGGAAGTGATGGAAATAATTGGGTGGGGCTGTTGAAAAGTTTTCTAGGGAAAGACGATGAAGGGGATGAATGCGCCGAGTTTGTTTGTAGGATATCTCCATGGCAGATTTGCGGTTTGGATTCTATGGCTAACCAGGCGAAGGGTTTGCCAATGAGAAAGAAATCCGGAGTCAGCATAAAAAGAGAAAGGACTTTCTTCCTGTAATGCCCTCTTTCCCCATTACCCGAACGCCTTCTGTACTAGACTGACCTGGCTAGAATGAATTGTACTTTACGCCAGGGGAAGACGAAAGCCCACTCCTTTCCATCATAGACAAAGCTACTATTCTCTCTGCACAGCAGTATTCTGGTCGCCCGATACAGATGGCCAAGCGTGGACGGAAACCAAAGGGCTACGTCGAGACAACATTTGTCTGCCGGAGAGCCTGTCAGTTGAAAAACACAACATATACAGAACAGTTCGATTGGGATGAGATCAAACCCGAGACAGAAAAAGAAGTCTCTCAATTGGTTGACAAAATAAATGACGAAATTGAAAGTATAAGGCAACAAAACAGAGGCCAGCGTAAGCCAGGGTCTGCAAGACCCGTGGGACGGCCTCCTAAGCGAAAGAAGGAGGAGGTCGAGGAGGATGACGAAGAAGATGTGGATGATTATAAAGATGAGGGCCTGGAAGATATAGCGGAAGATGAAGATGACGATGATGGCAACGGATCGGATGGCTATGGCGATATTGTCAAGACGCCCCGGAAAAAGAAGAAATTTACCAAAACAGTAACGCCTCGGAAACAACGAACTCCTTCGAAACTACTTACACCAAGCCATAAGAGGTGAGAAGACTCCACGAATACAGAAATCTCTATTTACTTACAAACTTTAGGGTCATGGTAAAGAAGCCCTTGGAATTTACACCTTTAGGAACACGCATGTTGGACCCAGAATCAGTCCAAAATTCCCCATTCCAAACAGCTCGTTCCAAACTTCACGTTGCCGCTGTTCCCACGTGTCTACCATGTCGAGAAGATGAATTTGCATCAGTGTATTCACATCTGGAAGCTGCCATTTTTGAAGGCACTGGTGCATGTATTTACATTTCGGGAACCCCCGGGACAGGAAAAACAGCTACTGTGAGGGAAGTTGTTGCCCAACTCAACGCATCAGTCATGGCGGATGAAATCGATGATTTCATTTTTGTTGAAATCAATGGCATGAAAGTTACCGACCCTCATCAATCATATTCTCTGTTATGGGAAGCTCTCAAGGGTGACCGAGTGAGCCCATCGCACGCTCTAGATCTCCTAGAACGAGAATTCAACCATCCAAGTCCTCGAAGAGTACCTTGCGTGGTTCTCATGGATGAATTGGATCAACTTGTCACCAAAAATCAGAGCGTCATGTACAACTTCTTCAACTGGCCTGGCTTAAGACACAGCAAATTGATTGTCCTCGCTGTAGCAAACACCATGGATCTTCCCGAAAGAACACTCAGCAACAAGATCAGCAGTCGACTTGGTCTCACCAGAATCACATTTCCAGGCTACAATCATGACCAACTAATGAAAATCATCCAATCACGTCTTGAAGGCGTCCCCGGAAACATCGTCGACCCAGACGCCATCCAATTCGCCAGTCGAAAAGTAGCAGCAGTGAGTGGAGACGCTCGACGGGCACTCGACATTTGTAGACGGGCGGTTGAACTGGCGGAGTCAGATAGTCAATCAGCAGTCCCAAGCACACCAAGTAAAAGTGGCAAGGGAGAGAAAATTTCCAAGAACGTGGGACGAGTCACGATTGCTACTGTGAAAAGAGCAATCAATGAAGCTACGACAAGCCCGCTACAGCAGTATTTACGGGGCTTACCACTTTCGTCAAAGATCTTGTTAGCAGCTCTGCTAGCGAAAACGCGAAGAACGGGAATCGCAGAAAGTATCCTGGGAGATGTCCTCGATGAAGTCCGGAGGATGGCGAAGATGGATACTGGAGGTCAAACTGGGAAACATCTGTTAACAGAAAGTAACACCATGAAAAGCGTTGCTGTATGGAAACCTCAGCCAGGAAAAGCGCCCAGGGTCCTTGCTATGGGATTTGCAGCGGTCGATCTCATGGAAGCGGGAATCATTGGTCTCGAGGCAAGGAAGGCTGATCGCACAGGTAAGATACGGTTGAGTATCGGAGAGGAGGATTTAAAGTTGGCTTTCAAAGATGATCCAGAGATCAAAAATCTTGGATTCTCGGCGTAAAGTAGCTAGGTAAATAATATAGACAGACACGAAATTATGATACCCCATCGAGTTCTTTCCCTTATTCCTACATGAAAACGCCGGTTCGCCGTCAGGTGCAATGTTCTCCTTTTTCCACCCTTCCTTCACAAATCATCTAAAACTTTTGCCTGCCTAATGTTGGTTTCCAATCTAGTGGATGGGTTTCTGGTGTAGCGTTTTCGTCTTGTTTCCATATTTTGACTGTGGGATTGGTTAGCATAATATTCTAAAGGGCCAGTTTCTTGCACTCACTTGTTTTATCGGCTTCTCCGCAAATCAATCGGAGTCCAGTTTTGTCATAAGTAGAACTCATCAGTCCAGCCTCTGCATCCAGAGAACCGGGTTGAGCCAATGTGTCTAGAGACTGGAATCTGTGACCTGATTTCCAATCCCAGAAGCTCATTGATCCGTTATCACCTATATCAATTAGTAAAATGACCGTGACAACTCAATAGAGCTTCACTTACCACCCGAGAAGAGAACATTATCCTCGTTGACAGACATCGTGTTGATAATCGAGTTCTGACCCTCAAAATTCTGCATAAATGCTCCCTCGGGGCATTTCCACTGTTTGATGCTCCCGGTACTTCCAGTCGCAAAAGTAAACTCCTTAGGATGGATAGCTAACGCTCTCACACCTTTCTTGTGATGCGTAAGAACCCCCATCGTTTTTCCAGCCGCAAGATCCCATAACCTAACCGTCGAATCGAGTGACGAAGTAATAACCTGTGGATCCGCTTCCTGGCATTTGAGATCCGAGACTGTACCCTTATGACCGGAAAGAACATGAATATTACTTCTAGTCCGCATATCCCACACTCTCGCAACACCATCACGACCACCCGTAACCAAAACATCGAGGGTTGGATGAAGAGCTAGCGTATATACACCACTCAAATGCCCGTGATAATGTCGAATCACCTTATTCGTCTCCAAATCCCAACATTTCACCATCTTATCCTCCCCACAAGAAAACAAATATGGATGCCGAGGGGAGACCGCAAGACCCCGTACCGTCGAAATATGTCCAGTTAACGTCAATCTCAAATTCCCCGTCGCCAGATCCCAAATCTTGATCGTCCTGTCTCCAGCACCACTGGCAAACCATTTGTTCTCCGGCTCAACAGCTAGCGATCGCACCCATCCTAAATGCCCAGAAATTACACGCATCAGTTTCCATGGCGCATGCCATTCTGGTTTGACCTGTATAACTGTCTGTTTCCGAACGAGACTCGAAGACGGTAGGTTTCTCTGCATCGTAGGTCCATTGGCGTTAGGTGGTACATGCTCTGAATTGACCTTCCCCCGTACAGTTAATGCTGTAGTTGTGCCGGCCATATTACTATCCCTCGAAGCTACTCCCTCTATCAATTTCATCGTTTTCGCATCCGTAGTCGTTTCCTCCTGGGGAGCTGTCTTCGCCTTCTTCCTCGGTCCCGGCGCACTCGCCATCTTAGCTGCCAAAGCAGGCGGTAATTCCTTCACAGCATCGTATTCAGCGTGGATGCGCGACGCTATTGCCAATCGTTCGGCTGGCTCTGTGACATGCGAATCATCTTCTTTCAAGCCCTCTGCGAAGAGAGACCGTGATCGCTTTGAGTTTTGCTGGAGGAGTGTTTTAAAGTGATCGACTTGTGCTTCTCCGGCGGTAGATGTCGAGGCGACTGATGCAGACATTATTTCGATATGGTGGATTGTTGGAATTGGATTGAAATGTTGCTTGCGACAGCTCTACTATCGCATCAACATTTATTATCCACAGCCTCGCCTCGCGCCTTTCTCGCGTCCTTAATTGGCTTTTATTGATGCCTCATAAGTAAGGCGCAAATTTCAGGTGGACTGAACTGACGACTACCTCTTTTCTCCTCCAGACTTTTGACAAACAAAATAAATTCTTTCACATCTGATCAGAAATTCTGTCAAAATGGACACTTCCGATAAATATACTATCCATGCTGCGGCTCGTGATGGAAGAAGTACGTATACTCTTCATACATGTACCCCACCTCAAATCACCATTACTACAAGTAGGCCACTAGAACTAACCTTTGATTTTGGATAGATTTGGTCGTCGAATCACTACTGAATGTAAGAAACTTTGACTTCCTTCAGCATAAATATATCTAATACGTTAATGTAGGCAAATCCAAAACTTGCCCACCAAAAAGATGACGATGAACGTTTGCCAATTCACTGGGCTGTATCCTATGGTCACCTTGACATCGCTATCCTCCTATCAGGGGTCAAGAACTTTGATCCAGATGTCCAGGTAAGCGAAAATATCATCTATTAAATTACTCCATACCAAACGAATTTCTTTTTTCTCTTTGCGACATGATATCATATCTACTGGAGAAAACGATCATATCATGTTATCTGGGAAGATCTTGAGCAAGCATGAGATCTAGCATCGATCCTCTCAAAAAATACATTGGAATAACCGAAAAACCTCCCAAACTTCCAACCTTTTCACACTTGTCATTTCCATTCCACCCCTTTCCACCCCAAAAAGAAAAGAAAGAGAAGCCACTAACCTTTTCCCCACAGGACGGCTCAGGCTGGACCCCCCTAATGATAGCCGTAAGCCTCAAAGAAAAAGCCGAAGAACTAACCACCCTCTTCCTCCAAAAAGGCGCCGACGTAAACGCGAAAAGTAGTCCCCTTTCCATCCCTCCTCCCTCCAACACCAACCTTCCAACTAACAAAACCCCAGCAAACACCTCCCAAACAGCCCTCCACTTCGCCTCCTCAAAAAACAACATCAGCATCGCAAAACTGCTTCTTTCCGCCAACCCCCCCGCCTCAGCACGTGTCAAAGATGCTCGAGGACAATACGCAATCCATCGCGCCGCAGCCGTGGGTTCAGTCCCGATGGTAGAGTTGCTGTTGAAGAATAAGAGTCCGATGGATGCAGCAGATGACGCGGGACAGACGCCTTTACACCATGCAGTTGCGGAGGGTCACGGTACGTTAACCTCTCTCTTCATCTTCCCTCCCTTCTATTCAATCTCCTTAAAACCCTCGTGTTGTTGACTCTTGAGAATACAAACTAAAGTGACTACCTACACCAGGCGACACCGCCTTCGCACTCCTCAAAGCAGGCGCAGCAACCGACAAGAAAGATGTCGACGGGATGCTAGCTCTAGATCTGGCACCCGATAAAGAGGTGAAACCTCGCCCTCTCCTTTCCTTCTCCTTCCTCCCTCAGAGAAGAACTTCTAATAATGCGGGATTTCATAGGTAAAAAAATTTATCCTTCAATCCGCGGAACGCGAGGGTATAGAATTGTAAGATAGCGCTACTCGATGTATGTAGCATACCAAACCCACCTATCCCGCAAATAAATAAAGAAGTAAAACATACAAAAAGGAAGAATCTCGTAAACACCTTTGCTGGTAAAGTGATATAAATTTATGTAATCATACAAGTCAATATAAAGTGAAAAGAGGAAAAGAAGACGAGGAGAAGAGAAAAACAAAAGGAAGAACGCTCAAAATCTGTATATCAAAAACAAAAAACGCCTGTGCCTCTCTCTAAACCCATCTTGCTGCCAGCCTGCCAGCCATACATGGGCCATAAAAGGGAGGTGTAAGTATATCCTCAAGCTCAAGATGAACGAATCTTAATACATGACCCCATCCATTCCCCACCCTTATCCCTCAGTCAATTAATATCCCAAAAAGAAGAAGCCCTCGCCAAGGACCGTTTCCTACCCTAGCCTGCCCATATTCTCACTTCCTGTAATCATTTAACAGTCCTCTCAACCAGTTCCCGATACATCCCCTTAATATCAACAATGTCACTCTTCAGCTCCTCAACCATCTCACTCTTCTCCCCCAGCATCTCCAGCGTCGTCAAATATCTCTCGTTAACCCCCTTTAACTCCTCTTCCAGCTCTTCGATCCTCTTCTCCTTCTCCCGCTTCACAGTCATCTCCTTCATCAGCGCCACGATCTCCGCTCTCGCCTCGTCCCGCTGAGCAGCTAGGCGCGAGAGATCCTCTTTGGAAGTGACCTTTTCGCTTTCTAATCGCCGGACAGCGGAACTCATCCGTTCAACGAGTTGCACGGAAGGACCTGCTCCCGCAGCCGAGACGGAAACCATGTCATTTATGGTCTGGTCCGGGGACGTGGGCGAGGCGTGGGGTCCATCAAAGAAATCGTCGTCACGGTCAGTAGTGATGGAGGGCGTGTGAGACACGTCGAAGTTCTCTTTGAAGGATCGGCCAGAGTCTTGTCTTACGGGCGTGGCATTTCCGGAAATTTTGCTGAGAGGCTGTGGTGAAGAGCGATGACCCACGAAGCGCTCTTGTGTTGGTGTGTCACTGATTACAGACCGCGAGGATGCTCTCCGTAGTTGTAGGTTTTGGAGACCCAGGAACTCGGTGGTGAGGCCTCTTCTCATGGATGTTACAGGTGAGTCCGCGCGGCCATGCTCCCTGATCGAGCCAGACTCTTCCTGCCATTTACTTCTTTCTTCTTCAATCTTCTGTAGAAGCTCTACCTGCCAAGCCTCCTTCTCTTGTGCGAAGGAAGCTTGAGCAGCAGCCAAAGAAGATTCAGCTTCTTCTGCCCTGCGCTGTAGGCTCTCAAGTTTGGTCCTATGTTCATTAAGTTGCTGCTCGAAACTTGGTAGCTGGGACCGGATTTCTTCGAGCTCATCCTCATGCCTTTTGGCTTTCAGAGTCTATAGATGTAAATAAATATGTGGATGTAAGTATAAAGGGGACTACTTACCACTTCACGCGCTTTCTTCCTAATATCAGACTCCCTCTTCGTAGCTTCATCCCTTTCTTTTTCTAGACTCGTTGCTCGTGCAATAAGCGAAGCCTCGATACCCTGCCAGTTTTCACTCGCAACAGCATACTGACTTTGAAGAGTCTCAATCTGGCGTAGAAGCTTGGCTTGGGCGTCGCCTGTGGTGCCTGATGAAACTTCCTCCGCTCGTGCCCGCATGACCTCTAATTTGCTTTCCAGCATTTGTTGTTCCGTCTTCATCTCCAACTCTGTCATACGTGCACGTTCAAGATCCTTTTCCATTTTCTCCGTCATAGCTTTCATTTGATTCTGCCCTCGTTCTACAGCAAGATTCTTCTCAATCTGAAGATTTGCCAAATCTTCCTCTAGCTCCGCAACACGACTCTTCTCAAATTCCAAAGCTTCGTTGGCGGCCTTCGCTTCGGCTTCCCTTTCTTGAGTAGCAGCCTCCTCCACTTGACGTTTAAGATCAGCGATAACGCTATCCTTGGTGATGTTTTCGCTTCTGAGAGATTCAACATCTTTTTGCAACTGGGCTATCTGTTTCTGTTTATCATTAAGCAGCTTTTCCGAGCCTTGAGCTCGCCTCCAACGATCTGTCACTGTCGATAATTCTGTTTCTGCTTTCTCTTGCTTCTTCATGGCCTCGAGAAGTTCCTTGCTGTCTTCCTGAGCCTTTGCCCTCAACTTCTTGATTGTGGTTAAATGGTTGAGCTCCTTCTTGGAAAGCTTTTGTCCCTCTTCCATCAACAACGCGATTTGCTCGTCTTTATCCGCCAATTTCTTCTCCAAACTCCCGGACTGGGCCGCTCCGCTTGCCTTTCGTGCTGCGTCCGCTCCCTCCTTTGCCAGGTACTGTAATTTAGATTGCAACGCATCAATTCGCTCGATGTAAGTATGAACCTCCTCCTGTCGTTGCAACTCTGATGTTTCATAGTCCGATTGGAGCTGTTTAAGAAGGGCTTCGTATTCTTCTGGCGTTTTTGCCTGGTTTGTCCCGCTTGGTTGTAATTCTGTAGATGCTCGAGGATTTGAGACCGGGGATCTCAACGAGTCTGTGGAATTTCGAGGTAAACTAGGCCGCACCGAGTCCATTGAGGGACGAGGAGAGGCTTCATGGTCAACGCTTTGGGGCACACCATTGGGCGCTGACTTTGAATCTGGTTCTTGCTCGCTTGACTTAGGAGGTTGAACCTCAATCGAAAGCGCAGCATCCGATGCAGTGCTTTCGTTGGGTGGGGTTGCTGGGTTTGGGGGACTTTCTAACTTGGTACGCTCAACATCTATGCTTTGCCTTGGACTCTCAGCCACCGTGGCAGGGCTCCCAGTCCGCGACGGAGGTCCAGACGAGAGCGCAAGAGAGTCTGCCTTCTCCGTTTTCTGTGCTGTATTCTTCGCCGCAACAGCTCGCGCTAAACGTTCTTGTAACCGGTCATTGGCTCTATTGCTTCCAGAGGCCGCTCGTGAGATACCTACAACACCAAAAATGAGTATATCTCTTACGATGTCCCAGATCCTTCAAAACCTACTGCCTTCTGGTTTTGTTGGGGTTGTTGGCGCAGGAGGGGCCTTCTTAGCTGGAGTAGTAGTAGCCTCGTTCTCTTCGGCCAGAATATTATCCAGCCTCGACTCGACGCCCGCAACAGCCTGCTGTAGAAATGACCCCCATCGTGAAGACTGCTTCGCCGGCGCAGCCATTGCTCTCCTCTCAACTTCGCGGAGGAGTGAGGCAGTCGCTTCGGTCCGATTTGCGCCTGAGATACATCACAGTCTAGCTGGCCATGCGTGTTGGATGTGCCTGTGCCTGTGCCTGTACCTGTACCTGTGCCTGTGCCTATGCCCCGCGAATGTTGGTGGAATTGGGAATTGATCGTCGTCGCTACTTGTACTTGGCCGATGGTCTGCGAGGGGCCGTTGGTGCTTTCTGCGCGAAGAAGTCGTTGAGATTGCAATTATGCCGGAAAAGGTGGCAGTAATAGTTCTGGAGGCACATTACTGAGTACACATTTCTCCAGTGTCTGGAACAGTTACGGTAAAGGCGGTAGTGCAGCGGTCATCCCTGCCGAAGCATCAATTCACCCCCACGATACTTTACTTGGCAAAGTTGCGTAGTGGTGGATGGTAAATCTATCACAGAACACCCAAGTTTTTGAATGACGTGAGAAAATCTTGGGATTATGAGCCATTAAATTAGGTGTTTTTTTCGGCAGAAAATAAGATTCCGACAAACAGTCACGGCCGTCAATTCTGAGAAATAATCAAGTGTTTCTGATTGTTGGTTGTTGAGAGATATAAGAGATATTCGCCCGGGTGGATATTCGCTTCGGTGATTCTAACCACTTTACTTGTACTGGTTGGCCTACCTGTAGGAGGTACATAGGGGATCGAAGCAGTGGAACAAGTGAGTCTGTCGAAACAAGCGAGAAATGACTTTTCTTCTCTTATTTTTCCTCGAATAACAATACATGTGACGGTTTAAGCTTTTGTGACAACTCTAGTAATCAACGTAACGATTTTCAGCTTGTTCGTACTCAATCAGATTGTTCCAGTCCTACGCGAAATCAACCCCCTGGATTCTTCCACTTCTCCCCCAAAACTTCTTGAATATTGGATCTCCTGGGACATCATATGGTGGCGGTAAATGCTCAAATGGATCCCTTTTGACTGCGTCCTTATACCAAAAGGCCGCCTCCCCCCTCTCAGGCACGATCTCCCCCTCGTTGTTCCAATTACCTAATAGTGCGATAGCAAATAATGCATAGCTATCAGCATTATGACATGCATACTTTGGTCCCTTTTTCAACTGAGGCAGAAGGAGGACTCGCAGCTCACCGTAGACTTTGGTGTCTTCCAGCGTCATTCCATCTGACTGCCCTGCGCGGGTTTCCTCATCCAACTTTCCTTGAAGCCATTTCTATAATAATATTTAGCCTTGATTAGACAAAGAAACAGGATCATATATATACCTTTTCCCCCCGACTTGCTGCGTCTGCAAGGAAGACATCTTTAATTTCTCCATCAAATAATCCTGTCGTAAATGTTAATTTTTCAACTTTCTGTAATCCAAAGAACCTCCATGTTCCAAAGGAGTAAGCAGAATTAAACATACCCCAAATGGTGGTCCAAGGTATTACAGGCGGATAAAACTCTTGCCTCGTAACAAAATGCATTAACTCATGTAGAATCCCACATTGCCTTGAGTATGTTAGATATGTTAGGAGGCCTTCGAGTTCAGAGTTCGGTCTCAAATAGAAGACATCCTGCAATGTTACAAAAGGGGAAAATAGAGTTATAGTCGGAGCACCACTATCTGGATCTTCTTTGAAGTTTGCGATGACACTGGTCATTCCCCTGTTAGTGTCCTTTGTCATGTCCGCGACGAAATGCAATCGGGTTTGTCCACCACCTTTTGCGGCTTTAAGAGCTGCGATGCGAGAGAAGATATTCATAACATTTTTATAATATGTTGGAGCCCCAAAAAATTGGATAAAGAGGGCATCATCTTGCTTTACGTTTTCCACGATATATTTCGATAGGCTGATAAGTTGGTCCATTATATCGGTTATATTATTTTCCCGTATGTTTTCGTAGCCCTCGGGTCTGTAGATATTTCTGGGCCGTGGGGGCCCATACATTGGGAAGCCTCTCAGAAAGAAATCCCATCTTCTAGACAGCGAATGGGAAAGAAGTCTAGAAGATGGTGTGTTGGGAGCTGGTTGTCGAGTCCTAATGTTGAAAGAGAGGGAGGTAGAAGTCAGGAGGAGACACAAAAGAACTTGGATCGACTTCATTGTAACCTGTAGGAGGGACTCCAGAGGATCGAAAGAGTGGAATCTGGGCCACAAGCAAATGCAACAAGTGAGTCCGTCGAAACAAGTGAAAAGTAATTTTTGATTTTCTAGCTACTGAGGAACATATATCTTATCTAGACCAAAACAATTACTGGTTGAGCTAGGGCGAGAGCTAGGACAAATTCGCGTATAACATAATTTAAAACCGTTGAAATAATATTGCAGTATAGTAATGTAATGTCGCAAAGGCGAGTTAATATCGTCGTATATGCGAGTCGAAATTAAATGCCGTACAGACTGTGACGATAGTTAGGCGATATGAGAAATTTGCAGGTAATTTTAATTACTTTGAGACTCGGGGCTACTAAAACTTAACTTAACTTGGCAATTTAAATCCCACGTCAAGAGCTAAAGCACAGATTGAATGATGGGTAAGCATAGGTTTTAGGCAACCGAAATGTAAAAAGTAAGCGCTTATATTGATGTAATCGCCTACCTAACTATTAAGCTGCACCTCAAGGAAGCCTCCGTAGATGTATCTCCCTAGGCCACCCACCCCAAAAAGACAGAACAAGAAGGGTATCATGTCTATTCTATGAAGCATCGCATCCAATCAAACTCAACTCATGACGCTCCATCCCACTACACAGACTTCCTTTCATGGTTCGCATGACCGTTCTGGGATTTCGACCATTCATTGCCATGGCCGTTGATTTTAGCGGATTCTGTGCGTGGGAGGACTTCTGGAATCGAGAAATAGCTAGGCCAGCTAAGCATAAACTCGTCTTGTCTGCCGTTAAGGCAATGACGAAGCCAAACGCCCCAGACGAGGTAAAAGTACGATCCGATACCCGTCATTAAATGCCTGCATGTTGTTAGCATATTTGTTATACTAATATAGCCAACAAAAATCATGCTTACCACCATCCATGTCCCTCTAAAAGAATTCCCCACGGCAATCCAATTTTATGTCTCCAAACACGTATCGTGGAGCAGTACTTGATATCCAACCCCCACAGTCCGAATCCGCCTAAGAATATACTAAGTCCAATACCGACCATCAACCACATTTCCTTAAGAATTGCTCTATCCCTGTATTCGTTCGCCAATCTCTCTGATTTCGACATGCCGGGGTCTGTTTTCCTCACAGCGGTCGCATGTTTCGCTCGGAGGGATGGCCGCAGATTGACTTCCATAACGTACATGGAACGGAATAACACGACTGCTGTGATGAGCGCAAATGCATTTTGGTGGAAAATCGGATCTTGGAGGTAATGATAATACAACTATTTCCACACCAAGTTAGAGAATCGTTCACAACTTCGACTTATTTAGAGTGGCAACGCACGGTGATAAATACGGCAAGCGATAGCAAGCTTGTTCCCAGAACTCGACGAACGATGACGGAACGAGAGAAGGAAAAGGTTGCGTAGCACATGAGGCAGGCAGTATAGATCATGGAGAGCTCATCCACGAGCTGCATTGGGTCTATAAAGTCAGCAATGTGATCAAGTTGTTGGTTGGCGAAAGAACCATGAACCCACATTTTAAGGTGCTATGGAAAGCAAAACTACCACTCCCGACAAGCAAATCTGAAATCTCTCAGCATCGGTTTTTATAATATCGATCGGATTGCGATATCCTTACAGCCAACGAATGCCACCAGAAAAACGCTGTCATGTTCATATTGAAGGCAATTTCGAATGCCCTTGATGCCCAGGCCAATAAAGAGGAGATTCGTGAGAGTGTTGACTATTTCGGCAGAGTATACCGTGGCATAGTAATCCTCTAGGAAGATATTAGAGAGTTGAATCTGCCAAAACCCCCACTATGCGACTTGCCTTCACACCAATTCAAAGTCGAAGTGACCGGAGCCCAATACCCCTCGTGGGGTTTGGCTGAAGGATACGGGAAACAAGGGAGAGCGAACCCCATGGTAGAGGAGCAGGGAGACCGTATGATGCGAGGAGGATGGGGAGGGACAGCCGTCTCCGCTAAAGGATGGTTGCGAGTGGTGTAGAATGATGTGAATGGGATTAAGTTTACGTGTGAATAAGCATGAGCATGAGGTCACACAAAAAGACCTCCAGAGGTAGTACTCAGAAAGGTGAAAGTTGAATGGTGTGAGGGCCAGGTTGTCGCCTCGAGTTGGTTATTCAGCATTCCCATATAGTTCCGGCTGGGCAGGAACCAACAGCGAAAAAGGATGTTTACTCCGCGTCGTCCGTTCCGTACCAAGTACGAGTATGGCAGGGAAGAGCTCCAGAGAGTCAGAGACCAGAGTCAAGCTTGAGGTTGCAGGTGTATCAGTTGCAACATCCCTGCGTTGGAGATGCAGCTCCTGTGCCCTTTCACAGGACGTCGACGTCTTCCTGAGGTTGTCGATGGTTTGCACGTCATATCTAAACTCACAGGGATAGCTTGGCTCCTACAATTGCCATGTGAAGCTCGAGGTTAGCTCTCGCTAGCCTCACCAACATACCTAGGGGGGAAATTCTATACTATCCACACATACTCGAGTACTCGTAGATGAAGAGCAAAGAATGCAGCTGCAGCATGATTCATGTTGATGGGTTATGGTAACATTCCCAGAAACATTTTCAAGAGTCGTCCACGGACCTTGCTTTCCGGAGGCACTTCAGCCAATGATAGCTGCAGTGAAGTGCAGGTCAAGTTTCCCATGCATCCACTTGTTACCGTTTATCCGGAGAGCAAAAGCCGATAGTGGGCGAGAGCATTTGATACTTGAATCCGAGAATACATAGATGGCTAGAAATCAATCGCAAGGAGCGAAGTGTTGATCAAAGATGTTGTTCAATTGATGCAAGCAAAATTATGTTACGTCGGGATTTTCTGATTGGTTGAAGCTCTTGGATCACATGATTTATCACGTGTCAATAATAATATCAATCACGTGTCAAATATCGCGATGAGGTTGCCTGAGGTGAAGGTGAACTTGCAACTGGATGTATCAACCTTTCTGCCCACGTAACAACCAACACTAGGCATACTCCGTCTCCATACAACCAAAACGTACATCCTCTTCGAAGCACAAACTCATCATGTCAATCCCAAACGAGGCCCTGCAAAAGGTAAATATAGCAAGAGGCACACCAAAGAAACTTCCATTAGCATCTCCACCCCTCATCCAGACTTGACAAGCTGACCTCCCAACCCATTCACAGTTGGTCCAGGAGATTGAGACCCAAGCCATACAATCACAACAACAAATCGCTACTGTCAAGTCACAGATAGCATTGAAACAACGCGAAATGCGCATGCTTCAACTGACCTCGAGTGAGGTATCTACCCTACCAACTGATACCCCAGTTTACGAGGGGGTAGGTAAAATGTAAGCTGCCCTTTCATTCCTTTTGATACCCACAGCAATGTGGAAATTTCCTCCTCTTTTCCCCTTGTGGCTTTCTATGCATGCCCAATCCTCATCACGAGATCATAATGGTCACTCATTATTGGCAGGTTTGTCTTAAGTCCTATCGCCGAAGTCGACAAGAGATTGACAGCTGAAACTTCTGAGCTGAAATCGGATGTGGAAAATCTGGGCAAGAAGCTTCAGTACTTGGAGACTACGCACAAGAATAGTCGCGAGCATATCGATCAGATTTTCAAGAGTCGGGGTTGAAGGGTTGAGGATTGACTCTGAGGATTCTATGTGGCTGGGAAGAAAACGACTTTCCACGACTTGGCGGCTCTATCACCAAAGGACAAAAATCGCCCTTATTAGAACCAGTTTCTAAAAATAAGATACGGCGAAGGTTTCATGTTCTTTTATCCCACCTTTCTATCAACCGGAATTCTAGTTCGGGATCAAATTTGTGGATCGGAATACCAATATGTGTTTCCCGTAGATACTTGAGTAGTACGAATACAAAGGTGCAAAGGATACTTACCTATTCGGTTGCGCTTCGTACCAAAATACATTCTCCAAGTGTATTCCTACTTGTTACATACGTAATAATAGCCGGTGCGTCACTCATGAGGAAGGACCACCGACTATTGTTCATTCTACGGACATTCGTGACAACTTCTATAAAGTCCTCTGTGATGACACATTTTGACGTTCCGGTTGAACTTTTGGGGCCCTATTATGAGCCACCCGGCCAGCTGAGCGACAACGCACAGGGATTCGTCATAAACAGATTTTTGAAGCAGTAAGAAGTTTTCCTGAGCAGGAATTATGATAGGTATAGTGTCGAATGTTGCTCTACTGCGCTAGCTAGTACCTAGTCCCAAAGGACGTCTGTAAACTGCGTATTTCTAATATAGATACCTTGTAAGACATGTTCTACACTCCTACTACTCCCTTAGAGCAAGATAAGCCCCCGCGAATCTCCTAAACTACTACTCTATCTCCTATACTATATATTCTAGAATAGTATTACATAGACATGCTCTAATATACTCTTCCTAGACCTAACTTGCGCTTAGGTAAGCTACTAAATAGTATGTACTATACCTGAAAGTCTAGTATATAAGAACTAGAACCCCGTATATTTATTATAAGATAATCTAGAATTACTACTACTACCCCCCATTTTCTACTAAGAATACAACTTAATTGATTAGATAACTAGTAAGTCGAAAGAATTAAAGTGTAATTATATAGAAGCTAGAGATACCTCCCTGCGTGCGTTACTACTAACTAGAAACAATATGAGGTCTACCGGCAGTGTTAATTATTGCTCTACTATACTGCCTAGTCTCGAAGGACGTCTACAAACTTTCATTTCTAATATATATAGACACCGTCCAAGACGTATTCTACACTCCTACTACGATCTGTGCCAAAGAATTACGATGCATAATGCGAGATACTTCGTCCTAGGCGAAATAATTGTAGGATTTTCAGGGGGTTTTACCTTGTTGCAAACCTTAGCTACCCTAGTAAACCTATGATTATTTCGCTTAGGACGAAGAAAGTGTCTTTACTATCTTATTCTAAGAGACTTCCAGGTGGCATCTGTAACTTTCCACAACTCGGCCTCATGATTACATCAGTGCAAAATGATTTTCTAGGGTTCCCTTCTTACCATCTATGACCTAACCACAAGAAAAGAATATATGTACAAGTGAACCTACCCCACTCCCATTCACATACGCAAGCTCTTCACAGCCAGTTCCGACTTTGAACATCCACATCCAAACAACGAGTCCTCCAACATGCGCTTCACAACCGCAAAACTCTTCCTCGCTGCCCTCGCGACGCTATCTAGCGTTCCATTCGCAAAGGGATCATCTGATTGTACTTCTGATAATGATTGCCAACATCTCTGCGGTGGTTTTGGTTATTCCTCTTGCGTGTAAGTATTCCGTGTATATCGACTGACAAAATGAACTTACACTTGTTCGGTACTAATACAAGTTGTTTTGTATCTAGGGATGGGGAATGTGGACCGTGCTAGGGAGGCTTTGAAGTTGAAGTTCTTGCCTTGATTGAGTACTCTACAGGGTTAGTTAGGCACATGTTGAAAGATCTGTCAATTTGTATTAACACGTCTATAGCGTTACAAGAGTATCGAGAAATCCTACACAACCTGTTCTTATCTGAATTCATGGTGTATTTGGCTGGGTTTAAATTAGTGGAGTGTACGCTATCGGTAAATAGGTAGCGTACCCAAGATGTAGAAAACTTGGTAAAACTCAACTACTTGGACTTTGCGTAAATATAAAAATTGATCCTTATGGAGTGGTATTTTGTGATGTCATTACTGAGTAGTAAGAGTTGTTTCTTATCAAAGTCGCTGGTTTCATCACCGATTTTCCCCCGGTCCCCCGATACCCCCTGTAAGAGGTACTGTAACAGGAGGACAGGAACGGAAAAGCAAGTCATGTCAAAGTCTACTAGTATTTTCCTTATTTTTTTACTAACATTTGAAGAGTAAGAAATCTGTCTCTCAACCCCGAGTCTCGGTAGTACAAATTCGGAAGTTTTTTCCCTTCCCGTGAAGGGTGGGCAAGGTGGGTGGATGGGGGGCTTGTGGGATACCCTCGGGAATACAATCAAGCCATTGTTCTAGAGTGTCCTAGCCCTGGTTAATATTTCAACTTAAGAAGGAGCAACTAAATCGGTTCCAACTACTAGTACCGTGGTAAATCGACTCTAAGGAGGAGACAAGTATTTGTGGGTGGAGTACGGAACTAAGCGCTTTACAGTCTTTCCTGCGCTTGAATGTAAATTACTTGATTCTTATACGAACTAGATCACGATGAGCTACAGCTGCTCTTTTCTGTAGAAAGCCGAGTCCCTTAGTAGCTAGGAATAGTAGTCTTTGTACTCCACTCGCAACCCTGGTCTCCTCCTTAGAGTCGATCTACCACGGTACCTCGTCCTAGGCATAATAAACGTTGAACCTTTGTGGGTATACGGGGGATTCTCAAGTGCAATACAGTGTAAGATCGCCACTTAACTTTTATGTTTGCTTGGTATTAGACCTAGAACGAACTTTGGTACTACAAAAACTGTTCTTGGAAAAGCTCGCTTAATCGTTCCGGTTAACTTTCATGGCTCCCGCTTCGATCCAACGAGGAACAATTCAAATCACGCGTGCCAGGTATTAATGTTATAAACAAAACGAGCGATGGTATTGCTTGGTACTTCCTGTGTCCTGGGTCCCATGGCAGACTGTTCCGTGATAATGATTTGGGGAATGCCGGTAGGCGCGGGAAAGTGGAAAGGTATTCCGGTGTACGCTTCGGAATATTCCAAACTCCACTAATCCGAGCCAAACGGACCGTCATGCGAGATAAGTGTCTCTATGCCATTACCGATGTCATCTCGATTCAAAAGACTTCCAAGTGCCGTCTATACCTTTCGGCAACTCGGCCTCGCCAGTAATGCAAAGCACTTTCAAGGGTTCCCTTTTTACCATCAATGACATAGCTGTAACAAGGGCGAGAAGAGAAAATTGTATATGTATAAGTGAACTCCCCCCTTTCAACGTCGTTTTCATAGTCATTTTCGACTCTCAACCTAGTCACACACACTTTACGGGTACACGCTTTACACAACCATTTCCGACTCTCGATCACCTACATTCAAGCAACCAATCCTCCAACATGCGCTTTACAACAGCAAAACTCGTCCTGGCCGCCTTCGCGATGTTATCTAGCGCTGTACATGCGGCAATTTCCCGATGTTCTACGGACTAATATTGTGGTGATTGTCCTTCTGGGTCTAAACAGATTTGCATGTAAGTATAGAAAGAAAAAGAGAACATATAATACTTGTTACTAACACAACATCTTTCGTAGTGCTGGGATCTGTAGCGGCTGCGTATAGATCTTGAAGTACTTGCCCACTGTACTCCACAGGGTTAGTCAGGCTGCGGGCATAGAAAGATCTGTTAATCTTGCATTAACGCATCGATAGCGACGCTAAAGTACCGTGAATTCCTGTCAAGTTTTCTGAATTCATGGTGCGTTTGGCTCAAATTAGTGGAGTACGCCGTTCGGCAGTGTACTCTAGAATATACAAAAGCTAGAAAAAATCCATTTATTCATCAGGTATACATAATAAATCAAGATCCTGCTACTTCGTGATCAATTATCTGGTTTGTATGGTGCACTTAAATGTAACCGGACCTCTGTATCCGGACAAATGATTTTCTTTTTATTCGATGTGCGAGCTAATTAATTCTTTAACTCATTACAAGTCAAGTGTTACAAATATGCTCTGGATATGAGAGACCCTTAAAGAGGGCACAAGCATGAGGATTTTATCACAAACGGTTTTTTGAAGTACAAGTGTTAAGCAGTTTTTCCTCTCCTTTGCTACAGCAGCTCACGATCTATCTTCACTTCAATAAGAGATAAAGTATTAGAATGGTGACGTCTACTTCCTCCCAGGCGAAATCAGCGTGACGTTTTTAGTGGCGTTTATCCCGTTGCCGACCTTGGCCACTCTAGGAAAGTTCCGCGTATTTCATACGGGATGAAGTATAATTAAGAGGCCACGTTACGGAAAGTTACACTTCGTCCTAGGTAAAATAAATGTAACTTTTCCAGGAAGTTTCACCCTGTTGCTTGCCTTACAGTAGCCACCCTAGCAAACCTACAACTATTTCACCTGGGACGAAGTAGTAATGCAAACTGACTTACAAGGGTTCCCTACTTACCCATCCATCACCTAACCACAAGAAGAGCATTTATGCACAAGCAAATTCCTCCTATCTGCACTTCAATTCCACATTTAAATTCCACAGGCTCTTCATACCATACTCCATTCCGATTTCGATCACCCAAATCCAAGCAACAGATCCAAAATGCGCTTTACGGTAAAGCTCTTCCTCGCCCGCTCTTGCAATGCTACTTAGCGTTGTACAAGCCGAAACGCCATGTACTTCTGATTGGAATTGTACTTGTCTTTTTCAGTGGCAGTTGCGTTCCCGCTGCAGGGCGTAAGTATATAGACAAAAAAGAATTAGCACTCGTTACTAATACAAAGATTATAGTGATAGGTTGTGTGGTGCGTGCCAATGATGTTTCAAAGAACTTGCTTATACTGCTCCACAGGGTTAGTCAGATGTAGAAAGGCCTGTTGATTTTGTACTGATTTGTTCATAGCGACGAGGTGACCTCAAGTGGAGATGGGCAGTTTTTGGGCCTTGGACGGCTATAGAGATATACTTTTCAAACTCAAAAGGCTTGCGCTTAGTTAGCTATCGAACTTTGTAAGACAAAGTATAGACAATGGGAATATGATATGGTTTCGATCCACAAAATTTTGCAACAGGCTTTTTGTTCTCGAGTAAGTGAAGGTTTATATCAACGGAAGTTACAAGCACCAACTATAATCTGTCTTATTTCTACTTACCTTTTTTTTCGCGATATAATAATACCGAGAAAACCTATCAAGTTATCTGAATTTGTGGTGGGCATTTGGCTCAAATTAGAGGAGTGTACGCCATTCACCGAATGGCATTCCGTAGCGTACCTGGGAATGTATAAAATTTGGTTAATATACATATCAAATCAGGTTTTGCAAAGGACTACGAAGCGTAATATGTCGCCGATTTCTACAAATAATGTAGTGGTTAAGTTTATTCTAAGAGGTGGACAAAAGCCGTGCAACGACTATGCTAAAGGTGTAAAGATAACTTATGGAGCTAGGAGGGGTCCGTGTGAGCTTTTAGGTACTAACTACGCTCAGGTCGCGAGTATCCCATAATTTAGTGCTCTGGCTCTATGCAATATTTGAAGCTATTCAGACCTCCCACCAATAGAAGAGCCGACACAGACCTAGCTCGGCCGATATTGGGCATCTGTCTAAATACTATACCTTATTCTATAATAACTGGTCACTTTTAAATCGCGCATTCATAATCCTTCCACAAGTTATATGCACGTTACATGCGAAGCTAATAAACGTTATGCATAAAAATCAAAATCGGCAACAGAAGCCGCCTAATACGTGGGAAGTATATGAAAGGTGGCGACGATTTATACCTTTCCGTAACGCGGTCTTGCATTTATACTTGTAAACGCAAACTGATGTTCAAGGGTTATCTATGATGGCCTATCACAAGAAGAGCATACATGTGCTATATATTAAAGTAAACTCCCCTATCTGCGTTTCAGTTTTTTCTCTGTAAGCTCACACTTCAATCCCACACTCCAATCCCATACTTCAATCCCACACTTCAAATCCATAAGCTCTTCATATTACAATAAATAAATTCCGGTATCTATCATACGCGCCCAAACAAATCCTCCATCATGCGCTTTACAGTTCAAGTCCTCCTCGCCCTCGCGACCCTATCCAGCGTTGTTGCGGGAACCTCATGTTCTTCGGACGGTGATTGTGATGCAGGCTGTGAAAATGGTGCAATATACTGCATGTAAGTATATAGAAAAAAGAAAAGAGATAGAAAAATGCGTTGCTAATACATGATCTTTTTGTAGCAATGGGCAATGTAGCGGGTGTCAAGCTAAAAGGCTATGAGGTACTTGCCTAGAGTACTCTACCGGGTAAGTCAAATACAGAGAGATTTCATGATTTTGTCTTAATTTGTTTCTAGGTATCCTGCTAAGTTATTTGAATTTGTGGTGTACCGAGTACTTGGACAATCTTAGTATGAAAGTCCCAGGGGAGAGAGGACGAGGAATAAATCCACATCGAGACGAGAGGATATTAAACTAGATTGGTACTTGGATTAGATTAGTAGAGTCTGCGCTATTTACTATAGCAACGCATCTCGGAATATATAGACTTAGTAAAACCCTATTTATTCATCGAGTCACTAAGGGTAAATGATTCCGGGCCGACTTTCATCTACTTTAGAAGGGAGTCTAAAGTATAAAACGAGACACTTATCTCAAGTGGGAGGTTCAAACCTAGACCTACAGTGTACTTTGTAGTTTAATAAGTCAGCGGCATGTGTCCTTCGGGACTAGGTAACTCGGTGGAGCACAATATAAAACTTTATCCACACTTTCTTCTTCTTAAAGCTAGCGTCTGTAACTTTCCGTAACGCGGCCTTCAATTTGCTTGCCAACCGACTTTTAAGGGTTCCCTTCTTACCATGTATGACGGCCTAATCACAAGAATAGTGTATATGTACAAGTGAACACCCCTTCGTAGGATCTACTCAGTATACTCCGTTCTCACAAGCTCTTTACATCATACTCAATCCCGCTATCAAACACGCATATCCAAACAAACGATCGTCCAACATGCGCTTTACAGTAAAACTCCTCCTCGCTCTGGCGATGCTATCCGGCGTTGCATATACAGCTGAGGATCTTCTCGAATGTTACTCAGACGATGATTGCGTTTATCGCTGCCTGGGAGAGGGTACATCGCATTGCAAGTAGGTGTATAGAAGAAAAACACGAAACATTACTCTTTACTAACACAGGATCCGTCATAGTGGTGGGAAATGTGGTTCCTGCACATGATACTTTGAAGTACTTGCCGTGCTTACCTATAGCACTCTATAGGGTTCGTCAAATATAGAGAGATCTTCTGGTTTTCTATTAATGGTTTTGCAGGAATACTTGGAATCCTTTCAAGTTAGGGGGTTTGCAGTGTATTTGGCTCAAATTGGCCGAGTTTACGTTATTTATTACTACCTATATTGTTACGCACCTTGAAATACATGTTCAAACTTAGTAAAAACCCCATTCATTTATCGAGTCTCCAAGGGTAAATGGTGCCGGACCGACTTTAACACCGATTACTATCTGAATTTCGCTTTCTCTCGATTACCTGTCTAATTTGTATAGTGGTTTTCCCACACAATCGGCTTCAGATAGTAGGGAGTCTGACGCGAAATGCGAGACCCGTATCTACACGGTGGCGTCTGTAACTTTCCGTAACGCAGCGCGGTCTCTTATTTGTACTTCGTCATAGGCGAAATGAATGTAGGGTTTTCGTGGGTTTTCACTGTGCCCTGGTGCCAACCTTAGCCACCCTAGTAAACCTACATCTATTTCGCTGGCGACGAAGTACTGTATAGTACTTGTGACCCGATTTTCAAGGGTTCCCTTCTTACCATCTATAACGTCGAAGTCCTAATTACAAGAGAAGTATATATTTACAAGTGGCCCCTTAGTAATAGGTACTCAGTTCACCTTAATCCCACAATCTCTTCACATCATACCCAATTCCACCATCGAACACACATATCCTCACAAATTCTCCACCATGCGCGGCATTATAAGAAACCTCTTCCTCGTCCTCGCAACGCTATCTAGCGTCGTGTATGCAACAATCGATCTTGGAGACTGTACTACCGACAGCGATTGTGCTTGGAATTGCGGGGGTGATTCCCATTGCCGGTAAGTATACAAGTTCATATAAAACAAATCAAGGAAAAAATACTCGTTGCTAATATGAGATCTTCGTAGTGATGGGAAATGTAGTTCGTGCGTATGATACTGTAACATACTTGTCTAGAGTACTACACAGGTTAGTTAGATGTAGATGGAGAGATAACGGGACTTTATACTAATATGTTTATAGAAATCCTTTTGAGTTAGCTGGATTTATGGGGTATTTGGTTCAATACTTGGAGTGTGCGTCGTTATTCGGTAGCGTACCCTTGAAGATATAAAACTTGGGGCTTGTTTGATGAGGTAGTCCTGTGGTACTAGTATCTACTTGTTTCTGGTTTGGGTATGGAAGGGTGCGAGTTATAAACTTCGCACATTCTCTGTAACCCCAAGGACACGTGTAGATCTTTCGGGATTTTGCAGGCTTTTCGTAGTGCGAATTGGAAATCATTGCATTACTGTTTGGATTATTATAAAAAAAAGAGATTTTACTCTCGCTATTACTGTGCCTCCCTAACCGCCAATAGTATTATATCTTCTATAGTACAATGTCCCTCTAACCTCCACCCATCTTCTACGCTTTCGCGTGACTCGCGTATAACCAGTCGAAAGGAATCTGAAGCGAACTCGAGTAATGCGATACTGGTATTGAAAGGTGGCGTCGTAACTTTCCGAAACTCGGCCTCGTACTGTGAACCGTGTCGTCTTTCAAGGGTCACCTTCTTACCATCTTCAAGAAGAGTATATATATACGAGTGGAGTCCCCTTCTACACTCCACATACTCCTCATATTCATTTTCCAATTCAATTACCTACATCTAAACCAACCAACCGTTCAACATGCGCTTCGCAACAGTCAACCTCTTCCTTGCCACCGTCGCGATGCTATCAAGCGTCGTATATGCAACTCCAGCCAAACACCCAATTTGTACCAAGAACTCCGATTGTCACGCTTGCCCCGGAGAAGGCACACCGTATTGCACGTGAGTACATCTGACCAAAAGTAGTGTGTGAAATATGTTACTAATTCAAGATCTGAAATAGCAATGGGGATTGTACATGCCAGTTTTAGTAGATATGTATCCGCCATTTTTACAGACTACTTGGCTGTAGTACTCGACCGGGTTCGTCAGATATTGCAAGATCGGTTGTTGATGTTATACTGATTTGTTGATAGCGATCGAGTACAGAGCTTCCGAGAATTCCTGTCAAGTTACATATAGTTAATCAATAAATATACTTGCCCCCTACTCGTACCTTCTGTGTCTTTCTGAAAGATTCTCGTGTGAATGTCACTTACTTCCCTTGTGCCTTTGCGTCTATCAAAACACAACGGTGGTACCAAATAGACGTTGCGGCTCCGCTATATCTGCAATAATGTTTCAAAGTCGGATAGGCGCGCAAATGGGTCACCAAAGAGGACGATTTGGTTGCCCAAAGAAGTCGATGCGGCGCTGCTATTGGGCGCATCCTAATAAGCAGGGTTCGGGAGGGGTGAGATGCAAGGTGCTTCACAGCACCGCAGAGCTGAATCTTTGAGTGGTGTAATGCTTCTTGTATTTGTACCGTATGCCATTTCATATTGTACTTACGCATAGTTGCGTCAGAGTAAGCGTAAGCACCTTTTTCTCGCTCATTTGCCGGTGCAGTTGTATACAGCTCACGTAAGTACAATTAATGCACTTGAGGTTGTTGGAAGTACCAAGAAGTGTGGGAGTGTAGCGAGAAATGATTGCCTGAAGGGTACCCACTCGTCAGTCTAAAATGATGCCCAAATTAGGTTGTGGAGACAGTTCGTCAAGCTGTCAACAGTCAATGATCGAATAATGGTCCAATGGGTCAAGGAACCGTCGCTAGGGCTGCAGGCGCTGTCCGCCCAATTTCAGGCGCGGACCCGAAGAAACTTCTGGCCCCCATCCGCCTCCCAAGGCGGCACAGCACCACAAGTCTTGGAAAATGGCTGTGAGGGACAACACCTCCCCCCTTTGGTGCCGCTTGAGCTCCTTCGGTCGAGAGTCCCTTCAACTTCAGCCCCCAAAGCACCTGCATCCTTGCAGCCATGCCATGTCAAGTCAAGTGGCAGGAAAAAGCAGTCATCAAATGAGTACTGTACCCAGTAAAAAGGCGTGGTGTGATTCTCTGCGCCGATGATTCTCGCGGGGTGGGAAATGCGCCGCTTCATCTGCCTCCTCACAGAGTGAGACTTAAATTCGGCCCATGCCCACTCCTGCTGACACCGACACTGACACCGACTTCGTTTCTTCTTCCTCCTCATCCATTCCGTTGTGACACAGAGAGTCTTGCGTCTTCTCTTATGACTGAGCACTTGGTTGCCACCACCTGATCATTGTTGAATTGTATCTCGTCCATCGTAGCTTCGTTCTATATCTTCAGTCAACCCCACATCCACTCTTCATACAGATCGCTATCGTGTCGCTTCGCACTTCCGAAGTGCAGATCGCATATCGCACATTGTAACGCCCTGCGCGGAGTGGTCCATTCATCTTCCAACCGCAGGGTCTCGCTCTCGCACAGCCCTACAACCATCCAAACAAAATATTCGCACATCTCAAACACTGGCAGCCTTGCAGAATAGTTCAGGCATCGAATCATTTTCAAGATGAGTTACTCTTGGGACGAAGACGAAGATGATCTTCATGTGAGATTCCCACCACCAAATCGAGGACGTCCTCCCGTCATCTACGGAGAGGCTCCCTACCGTCCAGCTGCTCCCTACTACGCACCTCACCACGCTGCTGGTGGATACCTAGTTCCCAATGCCAGTATCCCACGACGAGCCAGATCTACCGGCCATCGTCCCAGTGATCCTGGACCAGCACCGGTCATTGTAAACAATCGTATCTACAACGTCGAAGACGACCAACCGCATTATCTCGCTGCTGCCCCCCCACGAAGACGTTCACGATCGAGATCTTACTCGAGACGTTCGTCGCACTCACGACATTCTTCCAGATCTTCTCATGGCGATTATGAGATTGAGCGGATCCGGGAGCGGGCTCGCTTAGAGGCTCAGATGCAAGTTCAGCTTGACACGATGCGCAATAAGGATCAGTTGTCTGAACGGGTGCGCGCGGAGGCTCGTAGGGAGTATGGGGAGCTTCAACGGGAGAAGGAGATTCAGGATCGTGAGCTGGATAGGGCGAGGGAGAAGACGAGGAGGGAGGTGGAGATGGAGATGATGCAGGAGAAACAGCGACGGGAGTATGAGCAGGATAAAGCGAGGGATCGGGCACGAAGGGAGTATGAACATGAGAGTTCTCGCGCGAGGAAGATCCGCGAAGATGCTGAGAATGAGAAGGCGAAGAAGGAGTTGGCTGCCTTCAAAGCGGAGAAGGAACGAGAAGCCGAGGAACGCCGGATCAAAGAGGAACTCGAATTGAAACGTCTGAAAGAGGAGAAGAAAAAAGCGGAGGAGAAGGAACGTGCGAAGAAAGAGGCTGAGAAGGCAGTTGAAGAGTTCAAAATCAAGGAGGCCGAGAAGCGAGCCAAGGAGAAGAAAGAGAAGGAGGAACGTGATAAGGAGTATGCGAGGAGACTGGAAGAAGACCTGAGGAAATCGGGCATTGATGAGCGGCAGATTGCCCTTATCACGAAGAAGAAGGAGCCGATTGATCCATCAAGGCCGACGTATACGAGGATGTCGAGGAAACATCTTTCGATTGAGACGCTGAGAGCGCATAGAATTGATTATGAGTTTGATCAGGTAAGATTACCCGCTTCACTCCATCTTTAATAACACCCCTCCCCATTCTCTCCTCCCTTTCCTTCCCCCTTACAATATACATATGTACATATACTAATCTCTCCTCCCCCCTCCAGGATCCAGACTACATCCTCATCAAACGCTGGGTCCCCGAGTACGAACAAGACATCCTCTGGACACACACGCGCACCATCCGCAAACACCGGCATCCAACGATGCTCGCACTAGAGGGACGACGCCACCGCCATGGCGACACGGAGTTCGAGTGGGTGAAGAAGGAAAAGAAGACTAGGAAGCCGAGTCCTAGTCCGCTTTTGACGTTCTTGGCGGGCGGGAGTAGTACGAGGCGATGAGTGAGGATGAGGATGTTGATGGGTTTCTGGGTTTCTTACGCTTGAAGGACCCCCCTCCGCCCCGCTTCGCTTAATTGGATTGAATCGGTGGACGAACAATCTTCCTCCTTTTCTCCAATTATTGGGGGTTCGGCACGTTCCACTCTACCACTCATGAAAACCACGAGCTCCAACACCAATACCAATACGGAGACGAAGGTGAAGGAAGTGATAGAAGGAGTGAATGAGGAAGCTTTACATAAGTGACCAACAAATTTTCAAAAAAAGGGGGGTGGGGGTTTGGGGACGAAAGATGCCCTGGGAGACTCTACTCTAACGACCGCATTCACGAGTTTTTTTCCGTATAGTTTGCTTTTCTTTTGTTTTTAGCTAGCTGAGCTGGATGTTATAGTATACTCGAGTACACGATAGTTAAGTTATGTAGTTACCAGTAGTTATCGAAATACCCACTCTATTTATATACTCACTCTTGTTATGGGGATCTGGGATGTTGTAGTGTTTTTTCTTGGAAAATGATAACGGGGAAGAAGGAAGGGGAAATAGTAGCACGTTGACGTTGTAGAGAGAATCTAATAGGAAAACAGAACTGCAAGATGTTAGAGTGGATTCTTCAAAGTAATTTTACACAACCCATGTGTAGTAAGAAGCCAGACTCCCATTCAGAGGAGTGACGAAAAAAGTACCCATCAAAACCCAAAATCCAAAGGATAGCAAGAAAGACTCTCGAGAGCCCGATTCATTTCCTCTATTCTAAGCAAAAAAAACATAAAATAAAGGCTATATACAAGTTACAACACTTAGCAAAATCCCAAGTGATCTCTCAAGTCATGAAATACTTTGGACCCTCACCACCTTGTGGTGTCGTCCAGTTGATTCCCTGATTAGGAACTTTAATGTCGCAAGTCTTGCAATGAATACAACTTCATGAATGAATTAGTACAGCTTGCGCGAGGGATGGATAGGTAAACAACTTACTTTTGCGCATTGATTTGGAATCTCACGCCGATGTCTTTACTCTCATCCTCAACATATTCATACACACCAGCGGGACAGAACCGGTTCTCAACGCCTTTATATTTGGACCACTGCTCTTGAGCATGTTTCTCCCAATCCGCGACTTTCAAGTGAACAGGTTGATCCTCTTCATGATTCGTCCCGGTCCGACTAACACTAGTCAAAATATCAAAGCTGATCTTTCCATCTGGTTTCTCATACTCAATCTTCTTGCACTGGTCAGCCGATTTGGTGGCCGCATAATCGGTGCCCTTATGTTTGAGTGTCCATGGAACTTTGCCTTTCAGAATGAATGCCTCGAGACCGGAGTACATAACTCCGCCATAAAGTTTCAGAGGGCTATGAAATGACGGTCGCATGTTTCGGACCTCCTCAAGCTCCTTCCAGATACTCGACTTTCGAAGCGCGTCTTCATAATCATAGAGGAAAACGGTTCCGGAATTGGCGTTTCCGAGAGCTGTCCAAGTCGCCTCGGCGGCGAGCATACCCGATTTCATTGCTGTATGTGTACCTTTAATCTTTGGAACATTGAGGAATCCTGCCGTGTCGCCTATCAGAGCACCGCCTGGAAATGCCACTTTCGGTATGGATTGGAATCCTCCTTCGTTTAATGCTCGGGCTCCGTAGGAGATGCATTTTCCGCCTTCCAAGACGGATTTGTAGAGAGGATGATGCTTCATTTTTTGAAATTCGCCATATGGTGACATCCAAGGGTTAGGGTAATCAAGTCCAACCACGAGTCCGACGCTGACGAGGTTGTCGCCAAAATGATACATCCAACCACCACCATATGTGTCTGCAGGTAGAGGATAACCCATTGAATGAACGACCTGGCCCTTTTGGTGCTTTTCCGGTTCGACTTCCCAGACTTCTTTAATTCCCAATCCATAGGTTTGAGGTTGAGAATCGCTTCGGAGATCAAATTTCTTGATTACTTGTTTTGTCAAACTTCCATGACATCCTTCTGCGAATAGTGTTGTTCGCGCATGAAATTCCATTCCTCGTTCAAAACTGTCCTTGGCTTTACCTTGCCTCGATATTCCTAAATCATTGGTTGCCACACCTTTTACAGATCCGTCAGATTTATATAAAACTTCCGATGCCGCAAACCCAGGATAGACCTCTACGCCAACCTCCTCCGCCCTTTCCCCAAGCCATTTTGTGAATTGGTTGAGGCTGACGATATAGTTGCCATGGTTGTTCATCTGAGGAGGGGCAGGTATGGGAATACTATTCGATTTTGTGAGGAATCGCATCTTCTCGCCCGTTACTGCGGTTGTGCCATCGAATCTATTTTCATTGTCTTCCGCCAACCAATCTGGTATCAGTTCATTGATAGCGGAAGGTTCAATGACTGCACCGGAAAGAATATGCGCCCCAATTTCTCCAGCCTTTTCTAATAAGATGACCCGGAATTCTTCATTGCCGGCTTCGTTTGCAAGTTGCTTTAATCGTATGGCGGCACTGAGTCCAGCAGGACCTACAGGAATTAGATGTTGTTATGGAGGACCGAGGTGGCAAACAAGCTTACCTCCTCCAATGATGCACACATCGACTTCGTCACTCTCGCGGTCGATGGTATTTGGGTCAAAAGACTCATCATGGTCTGCCAACCGCCTAGGTGCAGAGATCGAGAAAGCCTGGGGTTGATTGAGGGTATAGAGTGATGTGCGGGGTCTAAAGCTGGGCCCGCCCTGTAATCGTGGAGAGTGCTGCGAGGAAGAAAGTACTCGAATGGGTCGCCGCCGCAACAAGTTGCGCTGCAGCGTTGCCACGACTGACCTTGATGAAGCCATAGTCATTTCTGAGTATCACCACATTGCCCACGTTGGGTTGAAAGGTCGTACGGCAGTCAATGCTGTCCTCAAGGTCTTGAGCCTTTGGCACGATTCAGATCTCTCGAAGAATTTCGAGCTTCGGCCTTAAACCGGCTGTCCTCGGCTCAGCTTGTGATAATCATCGACAGCCAATCATATTGCATCTTTATCCAAGCAAGCGTACTCGTATACAAATACCATCTCCCTCTCCTCTCCTCAGCCACAACTCCCGCAATCGAAAGTTGATGTTGATATCCAATTCACGAGCGAGATAAATTCCCCAGCCCACCCACACTTGTATGGACGTTGATGACGTTGCCACCCTTTGCTCCAAGAGCTTTAGCAAAGTCGGTTAAGAAGTTTACCGAGTTTACGAAGTAATAGGTGGGAATCTTGTCTCTATGCGCATTGTCGGACCATATGTTTAGAGATGCTAATAATTATCTTCATTGGAACAAATGGCTTGAAGCGATGGGAGTTAACGTGAGGTGGCGATCCTAAACCCTCGGCATAATTGATTCAGCAGCTCGATGTTTCTGGTACATACTCCGTATATTTCTTCTAACAAACACAGTTACGAGTAAATACGTGTCTCAAACTATGGTGAAGTCTTGTGTTGTTTGGTCCGACATTAGCTTTTTGATTAATTGGGTAATCTGCAATCGCTCGGAAGGAGAGTCAATACCCATTCTCTTGTTTTCCTCTCAAGTGGGGTCGGCACGATTTCCCTGGTATGCGGAAGCGGCAGTAAGTTCTTGTCTGCGCAAGTGTTTTCTCCGTACAACAAACGACCCGTTCAGTTGTTTCCTGGAACAAGAACAATTGAAACTGGCGAGACTTGATGAGACCAAACAATTCGAATAATCAATTCGACTTTTCGAAGCTTGTCTCTGTATTTCAATCGTCCCTTTGGTGTACAATATTGGGGAAATTTCTCTCCCCTTCCTCGACAGTCGCTGTCAAAATGTCGAACTTCTTGGGTTACATCGTAGAGAGTACCGAGTAGGCATAACGACCATCCTCACCCTCAGATCACCTCTTGGAAACTTGGTCGATCATCCACATGCTAGGATATATAACCTGCTCGAGTGATAATTCAGCGCGTATTCTTGCATACTTTTCCTCTTGCCAACTTCCAACCCTTGCCCGTTCTTTCTGACAAGCGGATGTATCGACTAAGCGAACAGGTGCCCCATGCTACTTCGTACTTCTTACAAGTTGACCCAAAATTCTCCGAGTTGGGTTTGGCAGGCGGTTACAGAGTTGCGCCAAGGAGAATATCATCGTAGTTCCGTAAGTTTATTTTGTGCTTTATTTTTTGACTTTGATATCTCGTTCTGAATTTCCTGCTTATTGGTGGTATAACTTCAAGTGATGGATGGCCTTCCACATTCTCATGTTCAACCGTCAACGTAGGTCTAGACAGTAAACGGAGGATCTCCCGTTTCAGATTTCTACTTATCACCATCCACCCTTTCCCCGCGGTGCAACCCACTTCAGTCCGGGAAGTGGTCATTCTATTTACGGGTGAGTTCCGTCCCAAGTGATCAAAGTGATGTTTCTCTCATCTGATCATGTGGGTCAACAGACGACAAGCGTCTGACGGTCGATGCTCTGAACCTTTTTTTAAGATCATACTTCCGTGTGATAGTCGAAGTACAATCCGTAGGTATCGGTGCGATCATCGGAACTGTACCATTTTCATTGAAACAAACGCGAATAGAAAGGTGCATGGTCTGCAAAGTACCAGTAGAATTGATCCCTAACCTCTCCGGGTACGAAGGATTTCCAAGGGCTTTCAAAAATGCAAAACTGTGGCAAGAAGGGTGTTTTCGAAGACGCAAAAAGACTAATCGAGACCACAGAGGTGGCCATTATCTGTCGTTTCTTTGCAAAAGGGACGAGTCAACTGAGCCCAGTAGTCTCACGGACGTAGAATACCGTCATGAATCGACACGGAGGAGTGTTGTGGTGGAGTAACTGGAGTAACTGACTGAGACGTGATAGACTGATGGTTGTTCGTTAGCAAAACAAATCCTGCTTTGGAGGGCCAAACTTAGCACAGGATGACGTTTGTCCTTGTGCTTGTACATGTAACCATCCGAAAAGGCGAAACTCGAAGGAAGAGATGAGGTTTGCTGATGTGATTCTGAAGTAATTCCAGCGTGGGACGAAAATGTTTTGAGATGCTGGAGGGTTGTTTGAGGCAGGTTTGAACCAGGGGGTCCTGCTGGTGATCCTTGGCACAACGGCTGATCCACCGCTCATGAACTCCACCCGCGCTCCACCACCAACTCCCGCAGACTCGCACCCCTTGGCAATCTCCCTATCGACTCCGTACGTCGTAATCTCTCTCCACCATTACTCCGTATTGTCGTCTGGAGTTGCTTGTGTTTCCGAAGTGCTCCAGATACAGAGAAGACGGAGACATGCCCACGTACGGAGCAGAAGGTCTAGCGACAACAATACGTCTTTGCCGAAGTGTACGAACATGTTTGTGATGTCAGCCGAGCGCATCCCATCCCATCCCATCCCCATCCGATTCAACGCCACATCTGAGGCCCAAGAGCTTTTCGCTTTTCCGAGTAATGGTGCCCCAGTACGCGCCAAGTCTGCAATATGAACTGCCTCTGAGTAAGTCCCATGTCGGGACGGTATTGAACTTGCACCATTCTCATGGCTCATCGCTCCTCGATGAGCCGTGAAAGTGGAGAGCAATAGATATCAGATGGTCAGAGCCTCGCCCTACGGGGATGCTTCGATCTCTACGATGGATGGTCCGATGTGACGATGTCCAGCTTGGTCCGACTTGGGGCCCCACGGCCGAGTCGCTGGGTTCTCGAACACTTCCGGGGGAACTCGCGCCGTTCGCGCATGGAGACGCACCTTTCCATCTGTTCCCCGATTGGTAACTTTGGGCTGACAGCTGTCCAAAGAGGAGAAACGTTACTTATTATATTTCCGGATGGTGATCAGACGAGTCAAGCAAGAGACGAACATGGGCACGAACGTGGGCCCCAGTTAATCTCGTTTCAACAACTTCACCCAACACCATCGAAGTATATAGAGGCTTGAGGATCCTCTGTTGTGACTTTCTTCTCCATCCATTCTCTCTGGTGCTGTGCATTCTTACTTGTTCATTTTTCAAATAGAGGTATGTGGATTCCAAAATGGTACTGGATAATTCCGTTCACTTACTAACTATCAATGCAGCTGAGCTCAACAGTCAATTCTTTCCACGCCCAATACTTTTTCGTTCTTATCTATACTGCAGCTTGACGCTCAACCCTTACACCACCATTCATCATGAAGAACTTCGTCCAAATCCTAGCATTCGCTGCTCTTTCCGCCACTATCGTTTCAGGACGTGCTCTCCCAGATTCCCAAAATGCCGTTCAGGCAAGAGCACCATACCCAGTCATGGGTGGAGTTGTCGGTCGTTCACCAAAGAAAAATGAGGACGGAGCCGCAGAGCCAACAGGTGTAAAACCGGGCACCGCCGCCGCTACAGGAGCTGCCAAGTCCAAGTTGACGCCCGAGGAGAAAGCCGCCAAAAAGGAGGCTAAGAAGAAGGCCAAGGAGGAGAAACTAGCTGCAAAGAAGGCCGCTCAGGAAGCTGTAAGTCTTTGTATATCTCTGGATGACAATAGATATCTCGCTAATGTGCTACAGGCTAAAGGAAATGCAACCAACGTTGCGGAAGACGGGGAGAAGAAGAAGAAGGCCGAAAAGGCAAATGTGAGTTGTCTCCCTGATTCCCATAGGTTGAAGACATCAACAACTGATTTTCAAAAGCTCGACCCTGCAAAGAATGGCACTGAAAGCGAGCAACCAAAGAAGAAAGGGAATGAGGACAAGGGTAAAAAAGGAAAGGTAAACCATTTCCCTATTATCCATCAACACTTGAAAAATCAAAAACTAATTGAATACAGCTTGACCCTGCAGCAAAAAACGGCACTGAAAACGCTAAACCAGCACCCAAGGAGAACGGCGATGATGGCAAGGCAGATATCAAAGCGATCCTCGAGAACTTTGGATTGTAGACCCAGAACGACTATTTCCTAGTCTGTTGCGTGCATTGCTGCGGTTTTCAGGACAATTTTTCTTGCTTCGACAATTATTGGATTTTGATTGATGAACAGGTGGTTTACTCATTGTTGAGAAACGACTTTTATAAACAAACATTATAGGTATAGAAAGAGTATGGTCAAACATATTCGTGGATTGGAATCAAACTGTGTTTGAATGATATCTTGTAAGATCTTGTATCATCACAATTGTATTTTATTTAAACACTTCCGTTTCTACTTGAGTTGTGTGATCGTCTTGATGTGAATTGCCTTTACCTTTATTCTTTCTTGGGAGTTGCCAATCTTAGTATAAGAGTCTACCTACTCCAGGTACGTGACTGTTGTACCCAGATTGGGGAGTTGCCGGAATTGGATTAAGCGAGCTACTAACCAGCGTTTGGCTTTTGGGATTCCTTCCCATTCCAGACACCTCCTGTGGAATACCCTGTTCTATTTGCAATACCTCTCTAGAATATGTCCCAACCCATAGTAGAATTGTGGAATTCTAGGAAAAGTATAGGTCATAAAAATTGACAAATCGGTTGCTTGATGTGCGAAGCCAGCAGCAGGTACTTCTGGGGCCATAGCCTTGCCATACAAGCTCTGAAGGAATTGCGTAAGGTGTTGGAGTCTCGATGAATATCTGCTCAGCGCATTTGAAAAGCTTTGTCTGTGGTAACTCCACAAGACAAACAAAAGCCATTACAGTACAGATAGGAGCCAGATTTTTCTTCATTCATTATTATCTTGTGCTGTATCCCAAAAGGTCGGTATCAGACCCATACTCCAAAAAAAGTAAGTCGTCGCTTATTAACAAATCAATTACTCCACTCTGCCTCGTCCGTTCATTCCTTAGCAACGAGTCGCAAACCCGCGCTTGGAGGATCAAGCTCAGACATGAGGTCCGACAACCTTGAAGGGATGAGCCTCGGTGTTAAAGACCCATTCATTGACACCGTTATGTTCCACTTGCCAAACATTATCCTGTAAAGAAAGGTCAAGTAAGCCGGTGTTCTATTTCATGGTGAAGCAGGAAGGAAACAGGGACTATAAAACAAATAGAGACCAGCAAAGGATTGGAAGAGAGAAAGGAGAGATAAAAAGACATACCGGCGCATGAATCAAGTGACTATACTTCAACACCTCCGCAAACAGAAAGCTATCCTGGAAGTCCTCAAATCCCCCACCACCCACCACATTAACATTCTTCAGCTCCGCAAATCCACTGCCCGTTCTCGCCGTCCCATTGATCGCCACGAACGCAGTCCAGGCCCACTCGCGGTACTTCTGATCACCCGTGGCTCGATAGGCATAGTAGAAACTCTCAATGACTTCAGGACGAAGAACGTAGTATGAGTCAGTGATGTAGAAACCTGCCTTGTCGTAGAAAGCTTGTTGATCAGCGGGGACGGGCGGGTTGTTGGGATCCGACGTGTTGGTGTTGTTAGTTATCCAACGGAAGGATTCTGGTCCGATGCCAGTTGCTGTTGCGGTGTAGGTGTCTTCGCATGCGTCGACGAGTTGGAGACCGAAGTCTATGTATTTTTGTTCTTTCAAGACGAGACCGCCGAGAATGAAATTCCCACCGTCGAAGCAGGCAACTTGGGATGTTCTTTAGCAGAATTTTTAGATCAGAAAAAATGTACTTACGATGCTGAGATTCATGGATGAGATTCCGGCCATTGAACACGGACAAAAAGGTCAAATCAGGACGGCTGGTAGGATGAGTGGCAAGATGAGCGATTGATGAGTCTGCTGCGAGTACCCAGCGATCTTTGTATGATGCAAATCGTGTTGTGTCATACACATACATCTTAATAAGGTACTCATAGAAGCTGTCAGCTCCACCAACCCAGCCTCCAAAGGCATCTTGGAAGAGTCCGGTATTGAAATCAATGTTCATTCCTACTAGTCCAGGCCATGGTTCTAGTGACTTTGGATTGGGATCCAAAAGATATGATTCACCCTTTTGTACCAAGTCTGCAAAGGTCTTATTTCCAGTAAGGTCAGCCAGTCTAGTCCATTCCATCACAAGTGTTCCGGTGGTAGCCAAGCCATTTGTTGTGCCTGGACCAATTCTTGATGGGTTATAAAACAAGCTGTTACTGGGAATTCCGGTTGGCGTGTTGAAAGCAAATGCAAGATTGTTACCGAGACGCTCTGCCTGGACGAGGATAGCATCAACGGCGGTTTTATTTTTGACGAGATGTGCCAATGGTCCGTTGAGCAAGTCATAACCTGTACAATATTGAGCAATTTACGTACAAGTTAGAATTAGAAGAGAATACCAGACAAAAGTCCTCCTAGATATCTAATTGTGGTTTCAAAGAGTGATATTTCGTCTGCGGTTTGGTCGAACTTGATGGTGGGAATGTAATCGACAATATCGTTTACAATATCCGGAATTTGCATCAGCAATGCTGTGCTCAATGCGTCTATGGCCGTGGCTCCCCATCCATTTCTGATGGCCAATTAGTCTCCGCAAAGGATTGAAATTAGGAAAGTTCACCTTGAATCACTGAAGTTATTGGTAACAGGTTTCAACTCATCATGGGGGAAGGCATATTTGTAATATCCGTCCCAAGCATAGGTAAATGCCTCCTTGACTGCATCTGCTCTCTGTCTGTTCATTGCATGATTGTCATAGCCACCACGGGCCTTGTTCTTGGGTAGCTCATCGGGATGCGGAGCGGCAAATGCAGAAAAGAAGAAAGCAAGGAGGGGGCCAGCAAGGAGAAGTCTGGAGTAATACATTATGGCGTGGAAGCAGAACTGCAAATCAGAGAAAGATAGTAGCGAGAGGAACTGGGTATGAATAAAAGTATCCAAGTGACAAAGTTGCTGTCAACTGTGGATGACAGCAACACAATGCAAAGAGACGACGATGCTGGTGACTTGACAGTGGGGTACAGAAGAGGGGAAAGGGTAAGAGCTGCAAGATGTCGCTACCCTTGAAAAGTAACCGGAAAAAGAGGCAAGTACGACCGAGCTAGCTATTCACTATTTATCAACCTATATAGATCCTTTGAATGAACCCAGTCCCCCGCTGTCGATCACAACAACCCCTCATGGGTCTGCCGGAGAGCTCACTTGAGCAGGACCGGCCTCGTCGGTCTCCCGGGACATCCCTACAAAAGATATAAAATCCTCGTTTCGATAACCTAACCATATTTGATCTGATGTGTTCATTGGCTGCTTCCCCTGAAATGCCGTGAAAGGGTGCCGAATGAGGGGAATGTGACGAAAGTCTGCAGGCTTTAGATACATTTTATATTACTGTGCATGAATTGTAGCCGTGACTTGTGCGAAGGATGGATGACGAAGGAACAATCCTAGTGGCCTTCCTGATAAGTGCTAGAGTTGTCTAGGAATGTCGAGAGCAGCCAACAAATGGCCGAGTCGAGTAACGTTGTAGATGCTGCCATAATGCATGATGGAAAGACTGACTGCGAGCATGCGACAAGCGATCATGAAAGCGAAGTGGAAGTGATGGTGAGCCTAGATGAAGGTATAGATGTTGGTGGATGGATTCTATGGTGGGTGACACGGTACCAGCAGAAGAATGGTGCAGGTTCAGGTGGTTGTGGAAGTTTGATGACGTCCGAAATTGGAGTGAGGCGAGCGAGTGAGAGAGAGTCGCAGGGACGACCTCGGCGCTTGATTTGGCGGGGAAGTTTCAAGTCTTGGCACCAAAGCCACCCCTGGAGCCGCTTACCCCTGGCCTATCACGTGACAATCCCCCTCTTGAGGCTTCGCCAGGCCCATTTGAAAGAGAGATGATGGCTCTTCGTCATCATCATTGTCTTCATCGGCGACGAAGAAATCATGGAACTTGCAATCTAGTTTCCTTTCGTCGCGATATCTCATTCTCGTACCTCGAAACCTGAGAGCTGAGATTGTGGAGTTTGAGCTTCTTCGCTTCGCTGCGCTCGTCGACTTCTGACCAGTTTTGCTATTTGCAAAGCTTGAATAATGCCCCTATCATGTCCGATTTCCTCAAGCATATTCACGCCGAAGTCATGAATTTTCTGGGACACACCAAGGGCATCGGAGGCGGAGGCCAAAGGAAAAATACTGACGAACGAGGCAGAGATCGGCGGAGCCGCAGCATCCTTAGGGTTAGGGCAAAAACGACAGCTGAAAGCGAAGGAAATGCTGCTGCAGATGTCTTCGGCCATACGCAGGATGGTAGAAAGACATTTCTGTTGTTCTTTCTTGTGCTCATCTTGCATCATATCCAACTTCTTTTCTGACAACATCCGAAACAACCTCTCGTTTACTCGAATTCGAGTCCAACGATAGTGATTGTAAGTCCTCGCAGTCCACAGGTCAGTGTACATATGTGTTTTTCCATCATATATATCACTTCCGGTATCAGCAACAGGACGGGTTGAAAACGACCATTGAGACGGAAGCTCTCCTTCCCAATTCTCCAAGGCAGTCTCCAATTCGCGCGCTTGTGCGATGAGGATTTCGGGGTCGATGGACTCGTTGGATTTCGCAAAGGAGTCCAAATCAACGACCGAGGAACAGATGCGGACAAGGTCAACCGCCAGTGCTTCGCTAGCATCGAGATTCTTAAAGGACTGTTGGGGCCATTCCCGAATTGGTTGTGGGATTGGCTCGTTACTGGAGATGCTATTGACCAACTGCAATTCGCTATCAGATTGATTTCAACAACAACAAGAGCCAGAAAACGAAAACACATACCGCAATGAAGCAGAACTGCGATTGACATCGCAACGGAGGCATCACAACCGCATCTCTTCGTTGCGAGTTTATCATGAGCAAGGCCGCGGCTCCTTCGATGTGAACCCTTCTGCCTTCAGATACGCAGCCTTCGGCCCCTTCCGCTGTGTCTGGTGTCGTGCCGTTGATGATCTGACAGAAATCCAGTCAGAGAAGTGCCTTTCAGTATTCATCCTACTTACTTCAAATACTGCCAACATCATCACCGATTTGAAGAGAACCTTAAAGTCTTTACTTGCCCGGATTTCCAACCAGGACTTGATGGCGCGAATTGCTTCTGCGTACTTGTTCCTCGCAACAATCATGAAATCCGGATTTTTGGACACATTTGCTAGACCAGCATATCCAATGCAAGATGCAGTGGTGAACAGGAGGGGGTTCATATGGGAAACATCCCACAACAAAGACGAGTTCACAATCTTTTCTTCGTTCGCAGTTTTGTAAGGCGCATCGACGTAATGTGTGAAGAAGAAGCTCAAGCCTACATCTGCTAAGATCATTGCAACGTCCCCGCCGGGTGAGCCACTTCTTGAGGTTGTCGAAGGACGAGGGTGTTTCTTGGGGCTACTTTTGGAAGTGGCTTCTGAAATCATTGCTCGACGTGGTGATGATGAACGGGATTTCGTCCGATCAACTATTTGCTTTGCTCTTTTCTTTTCGGTTCGCATAATTACTGTTGCATTTTCATCCCGAAATTGAAGGTCCAATTGATCACGATAACCGGAACAGTCTTTTTCTGCTCTCAAGCATTGCGAGCAACTTGGTTGGATCTGATCGCACTATAAATAATAAGCTTTTGTAAGATCGCACATGAATGGGGCTCCCATACCTTGATTCTCCTCTTCCGGCAGTTCAAGCAACCTTTACTTGGCTTCCCGCAGAATACCATGGCAAAGTTGTCGAAAAGCTCAAGGTGTAAAGTGTTTTGGCGTCGGCTAGTTCCAGCGCAGTACAGTATACCGAAAGGCCGTTATTATTTGGATTTCCAAAATTCGTGGTATCTTCCTTTTCAAAGTAAGGTTTGCAAGGCAATTCTTCTTGGTCAATTATAGAAAAAGGGTTACACTCCTGTACCGGCTCTTATGTTATCAGAACCGGTACTTAAGTTCCTTTTACATGTTCGGCAGTGGGTCTCACATCAGCATGGAAGACACCACAGAACGGCGGTCTATCCAGGCAGAGCCGGCCCCCACAAGATTCTGCCGCCAATTTGCTAAATCGAGGCACCAAATCGCGACGCTCGAGCCAACCGTTTTGACGAGCCCAGAGGCACGGAAATGCTTATCACAACCTCTGTCCTTCAGCTCATTGATACATATAACTTACCGTCCCATGTTTGATCCTACAAATACGCATTGACTTTCACAAAGCCAATTGCAGGTGGCTCTCGGAGTTAACCGTCTGTTGATTCAATCTTTTTTCTTGGAATGGAGCAAATTTTGTCATTTTCGAATTCTTCGCCTTCTTGGCACTTTGTTGTCGCCTCTTTGGTAGGTAGTCACTCAGTTCACTTTGATTTCATGGAGCAAGAGATTGTTCGGTCCAGGAATAGGAACGGGTTAAATTAGCATCTGTAAAATTAGCAGATTTAGTGAAAACCTCGCCTGTTTGTCATGGCCTCTCTCGCACTACGAATCGCCCTGCCTCGCCAACTATTGCTAAACCACAGTCTTCATGAATGCTTTTGCAATATCTGGATTTTGTAATTTTCAAATTTGTAACTTCGTGAGCATATCTTCCGGTGATCATATACATGGTAAAGCGGAATTACTTGTAATGCTGTTTACTATTGAACCATGATTTCAAGTGTCAGTATTGTTTTTATGCCTGTGTGGTATGGGATTACTACTTGTTATGTTTGTGAGGATATCCAAGACTTGACAAGATGCATGATGTCGCCCATTCGAAAGCGAAGGGACACGTTCTGTTTGCTTGATGGAACTATTTTTATAATCAGGAGAAACTGCAGCGCGAACCGAGTGTCTTCTTCGCGTGCTACATTTTTTCTTTACGAAATTAGAATGATGAGGCGAGGTAGTAATTACTAATGTTTTATTTCTGAAACGATACCGCTGATGGATATCAAGATACGAAAGAATAAATTGTTGGAGGTTCAGCTAAGCATTTTCTGATTGACACTTCAATTTTGAGAGCTCTTGTCAAGAATGATAAATCCCTGACGTCCTCTCTACCGTTGTGGTTCATGTGAATGTACGGTGCTGTGAACGCATCTAGACGTCCTCAGAACATGGTTTCAAACCTGTTTGTCAAAAGTTAAGCTTTGAGGATTCATGTTTTAGCGGTAGAATCTGAATAAGAAGACTAAACGAATATAGAACAAATATAGGCAGATCAAACATGGAGTGACGAACTCTTGATTATAAAGAATAGTTATTGGTTACTCTACTTTTAGGCTTTTACGATAGACTAGATTCTAACTATAAAATAGGTTTAGGCTATAGAAAAAACTCGATATAGGAATACTTACTAAAAGAATCTCTTTATTTATATTCTTAGGCTTTTAGTTCTTAGGTTCATAGGTTAGGTTTTCATTAGTAGATTTCAAGATATTTCTAAGGGGGTTCTTTTAGTAATAAGAGTATTCTTATTCTTATTCTTAGGTCGTTTTTTCAAGGTTTTCTTTTAGAATTAGTTAAGTCTAAAGGTGTTATTAGATATATTATATTAGTAATTCTAGGTAGAATCTTACTTAAGACTTTTAGAAGAGAATTAAAGAACAAAAAAAGGCTATATATAGTACTAAATTAGTTTTCAGTAAGTATAGTATATTATTCTATTACTTATATATAACTTTATTATTCCTTAGAGTAAGGAACTCGCTTTAGAAATATACTTGTTATTACTATCGCCTTTATAAATAATATAGGGAGAGAATAAAGTAGCTTAGTATTATTCCGTTCCTCGTAATAGCTACTCTAATATCTAGTACGTAGAACGTTCTAATTATATATAGTAACTCGAGCTAGTAGTATTTAAATATTCTAATCAGCGAGAATACTAAGGCTAAATAGAATCGAGCGTTCTAACTACCGATAGAGTAGCTATTACGAGATAAGGAATAAGTAGATGAATATTTTTGTAATTTTACTTACGTAAGGTAAGAGCTCCTTTTAAAGCGGCTAGATTATTACGTTAGTACTTCTACGTTTATTATTCTTTCTCGCCTTTCTAGCTCCCTTTCCCTCCTTGTTAAGTAACTACATAATAGGAATAGAATAGTATAGGTATATAAGGGGGTTACGGAAAAGGAAAGGGGGGAAAGGGGGGAACATAAGAATTAGGTTAGGCGAGAGTAAGAGTAGGCAGGATATAAGGGCTATTTTTTTATTAAAAAAAATACAAATCCATAAAGCTAAAGGTTTGTAATCAAAAGTTACATACTCCGTGCTTGTTCCGCTCATGTCCGTTCCGCAGACGGAACAACTGGCTTGGATTCTGCGCCGCTTGCGAATCAACTTTTCATATCATAACAAAGTGGAGAAGTAAATCCAAAAGAATCTGAGTCACACTTCCTCCTCGCCCGTCCCATCCCTTCCCTTCCCTTTCCTTCTAGAAAACCCCACGCCACCCGTCCATCCCCACAAAACCACCCGAACACAACGACATCCTGGATCACGCACCACCCTCCCTCTTCGCATACTCCTCCTCAATCCGCTCCTCATACAACCTCTCAGCCTCTTTCTCTTCCTCCGTCTTCGACTCGCCGCTGCCTTTCGGGGTCTCCTTGTCTTCCATGGTTATCGGTTCAGTTGCGGATTTCTCCTGAGATGATGAGGAGGTTTGGGAGGGCATTTTTAGTTGCTGTCTTTGGATTTGGCGTTTTCCTTGAATTTGTTTATGGGCTTTCTTGTGAGCTCGGAGGGCTTGGAGCGATATTGATGTTTTTTTTTGTTGGGGGGTTTGTTGAGTAGTGTTTTTGGTTTTGTTGAAGGAGAGAGGGTAGGTAGTTGGGAGGAGGGATGTGACGTGGGATGGGATATGTACCCCTCGTTTGTGGCGTTAACGGGTGGCGCAGGAAATTGTGGGGACTTATCGCCACCTCGAGAACACGCCGTTTTCCATGGCATGGCATGATTTAATTTCGTTGCTTACGAGCATTTATTGTTTGTGCCTGTTTTTCTTCTCAGAATGGATAATGCTTCGTCATAAAAGCGGGTGCATTCAAATCTGGTTTGTGCAAACTGTTCCAGGGCCCAATAAATATTTGTCTGGTGGGAATTTGAAGCGAGTTGTAGATATCTCATTCAGGGATCGAGTTGTGTAGTTGGGTAGTATTACTGAGAAATATTCTGGGTTGGATAGCCTCATGCGATTCTGCTGAAAAGCAGCAAGTAAAATACCGTAGGACGGAATTTCGTACTTTGGGGGATGTTGGGGGTGATGAGAATGAGTTGCAATTCGTTCTTAGCAGATTCTGTTCCTGATAGGTTTTGAGAAGTAGCTAGATATCTCTGTTTTGTGAATATTCTCTTTTGAGTTGGAAGAGGGTTATCTCAGTGCCTTTGGGTTATAACACGTTGCTGGAAGAGAGATAACCTCATATTCTCTCCAAATATATGGCTCCAAATTGGCGGCTCGATACTTAGAATCCCCTCAAGAACTTTCAATTTTCTTCTTTCTATTGAATAGAGTACGTAGCTGGTATGTCCAAAAATTACAAAACGTTGCTTGTCGGCACAATGCACATCGTGGTAGCAAGAAACAGCACATCAAGTGCCCGTAATTTACTTATTCGAAAAGTGTGAATAAATTGAAGCTCACAAACACATCTTCTTCCAATCACCATCTGATCGTGAAGCCCTGAATTCCGTGCGGAAAGCATAGTGCAAAAAAACTGGTCTTTTCTGCGATCGAATGCTCGTTGTTTAGGGTTGACATCACCCGTACGATTTTTATGAGGTGAGGTATGTTCCGTAGAGAATTAGTATATAGATAGGTAGGTGTACGTTGGGAGTGCATAGCGAGGTGTTATGTAGGGAGGTGTGATAGTGGTGAAGGGAGATAGAAGTAATGCTTGGCGTGGTAAGCGAGTGTTTTTGTTTACTCACTTGAACTTGAAAATTTCCTGTCCAAAAGGCGACCATTATATGAGAGTCACTGTCAACAAAACTCACTAAAGCCACCCATTAAGAGGTGCGATGTGCCATATGACGTGGTTTGGTGCTTCACCTGGGGGTACTCCCCAAACATCATCAAATTTTGGGATACAAATGATCTCGTTGTATAGACCATGTTCTACGCCGCCTACAATACCATTCAAGGGGATAATCTTATGCGTGTCCTAAAACAACCCTTATCAAGCTTCCCACTAAGCACAATTGTTGTCTCACCCACGTTGCAGTCCTTAACCATACACCTACCTACAGTCATGAATTACCCAGATTAACCACAGGATCTAAAAAACCACCATAAGCATCAGAAGTTGTGACATTACAAAATGCACAAATCCTATGTCTTCTTTGGGGCATTGAAGTTCTTCCCGGCTGTGGGATGTTTAGACAAGGAAATGAGGCTGATGGGGTTTGGAGTGTGGATTCTCCCGGGTTTCGCTTATAGTAAGCAATCGTAGCTGGGAGTGCTGATACGGCACTTGGATGTATATAGAGCTGGGTGTGTGATAATGATGCTCATGGAATTGATGTTCGGCTAGAATAAACCTATGGGGAGTCTTTGATCAACACTAGAAAATATCACACATCAATGGGCCACTGTTTAACTAACCCAGAAGTGCATGGTTTAAATATGTGAGTATACATACCGTCAAAGGCTGTTGCGTAGATCACATCTGTAAATATGTATTCAGTGCCCCGAAATAGTGACCTTCCTAGAGGCACCTCTTGCGTTCTTCTTAATTTCATAGTAGAACCTCCACAATTCCTATCCTATATCAAGTGACTCTCACATCCCAAATGAACCTCCATCAATCAATAAACAACTTCATCAATGGGAAAATTCACTCTGTGTGCCGCAAATCATAGGTGCCGATCATATGGATGTCCCCAACAATGAGGCTAAACGGCATTTTCTTCTCTTTAGATTTATACATAAATCCCTCTTGGCTCCAAGAGTCAACCTTTTTCGTCAGTTCGTGAACGCGATTTTGAAATAAGAAGTTGTCAGCAGCCTTGAACACGTTGTTTATGGGGGGTGCCTTCGCGTATCCAAGGAGTGGTACGTGTTTGTCCTTTATGGAGTGAGTACTGCTAATGGATACGAAGTGAAGAGTGGGTTTCCAACGGAACGGTCTGTTGCTGCGAATGGGAGTGTACACTATGGTATGTACTGTACTCCAAATTTTATTGACAATTCCTTCCATTATGTGTTATCTCCAGATACTGTTAATTATTGAAGGATTCCTGAATCAACTCTCGTTTGACAAACTTGCCAAAGAATGAGCTCACCGGATTCCAAGCGAGTAAAGAGCCATAGCTAACTTCTACTCTCCAGCTGGTGTAAACATAGCAGGTTCAACTTCGACTGCCTAACGGATGGCTCCCAAGACACAACAAAAGCTTCACCACCCCTCTCCTTCCTCGGTGGTCCCGATGGCTCAGGCCAAATGTCCCACTTCGTCAAAGACGACAAGATGAACATCTTTCGTCTCCCAGTCGGCTGGAAATATCTCACAGCCTCCAACGTGGGCGGCACCCTCAATCCTGCAAACCTCCAGAAATACGATCAGTTGGTTCAAGCATGTCTCAAGAGCTCCGCGAACACAGTTTGTGTCATCGATATCCACAATTATGCTCGGTGGAATAAGCAGATTATTGGACAGGGCGGGCCGAGTAATGCGCAGTTTGTGAATCTGTGGACGCAGTTGGCGACTAAGTATAAGGGGAGTGAGAAGGTGGCTTTTGGGCTGATGAATGAGCCACATGAGGTGGATATCTTGAAGTGGGCCGATACTGTACAGCAGGTTGTTACTGCTATTCGAGGGGTTGGGGCTACTACATAGATGAGTGAGTATCATTTTCAACGAAACAACTCCGACATCATAGAAATTGAATTGACAGTCTTCCTACCTGGCAACGACTACACCTCGGCGGGTAGATTCATATCCAATGGCTCAGGCGCGGCATTGTCAGCCGTCAAGAACCCAGATGGGACATTCAAAAACCTGATCTTTGATGTTCACAAGTACCTCGATAGTGACAATAGCGGAACCCACACCGAATGCGTGACAGACAACATCAACGAGGCATTTCAACCACTCGCCACATGGCTACGAAGCAATAGCCGTCAAGCAATTCTCTCAGAAACTGGAGGGGGTAATACGGCAAGTTGTACTAAGTAAGTGTGTCAACAAATTGCATTCTTGAAGTAGGTTATACTCAGAGCTTTTAGTCGTCCGGCGTGTTTCTTGCTAATTTGTGGGCTAGTGCAAACTCGGACGTGTATTTGGGTTATATTGAATGGGCTGCGGGGTCATTTTCAGGCACGTATGAGTTGAATGAGGTCCCTACTGGCAATGGGAACAATTGGCAAGATACCTCGCTTGTGAAGGCTTGTTTGGAGAGATAGACTGTGTTAGTGTTACTTAGCACCGCAAGCAAAATGGAGGGGTTAGGGATGGGTCGAATAGAGATGAAAATGTAAAGGATTTGGATTGTTATATCATGCATTGAGACTATAATAATGTAGTGACAACTAGTCATGGATTATTGGAATAGTACTTTGTATTAATGATTGGCAGTGGTGGCGAAGTGAAGAGATCGTAGTACCCGACCCGCTCATTCCCCTCGCTTAACTTCACTCCTATCACCACCACAAACTCTCCTCCCTCCCCTACAAAAGATTGCAAAAATAAAACCAGAACGGATAAAATCATAGAAAAACAACAAAAAGTCCGCACCACCCATTCTGCTACAAGTGGTGGCGGGCAGGATCAGCTAGCCACATTGTTCCTAGAACAATCTAGGAACAACTACTCTAGACTAATGTTTTGCATTACAAAGGAGACCACGTTAACCAACGCACCATTTGGTGGTGCGCTGCAGGATTTGCTCAATTTTGTATGCTGGGAGAATGCTTATTTGTAGTGTTATTGTGTGGAGGGGGTTGGGTGAATGGGCTACTCGAGTATCTATGGAAGTAAATTGTCACGTGACTAACTTATATTATCCCAGCTACCTATACTGGTATACTGCCAGTTCTATTTTGGGTTCTACCAATATTACACTTGATCTGATATATATCTATTAAGCCCGTCTGGATGTCGGATGAGCGGGTGAAAACTTCGGCATGCCAATAAACACAAGCGACGCCCAAGGTCACGTTTCGACATTGCCCCATTCATCGTCACGAAATCCTCTGTGTGATATCGACAAAAGAACAGAAATGGAATTCTACATTCTCACAGCTGGCCAAGGACGAAAACCAGACGAACTGGGTACTTGGTTATTTTGGCTTCGCGTCGAGAACGAGGGGAAACAATCTCTTCTTTATGAACTTACTCAGTTAAGTGGGAGTTTGAACAATACCCCTTGGTTGAAATGGGGTTGTTTTTGTCGAATGTGGTATAAGAGGAGTTCTTTGAAGATATATCTTCATTGAGAGTAAAAGATGGAGTTTGGTTGGTCGAGTGGCCAAGTAATATGGGGTCGTCGGTTAATCGCAGGTCATGAACTCAAGCGCAGCGCCATACATGAAGAAAAAAACGTTCACCAATCTCCACGGTAGCCAAGGATGAGATTATCCATGAAATATCACATTTGAACCATGCTGGTACTGTTATCTACAATGTTCACCAGTTGACCCATCTACTCTTTCACCCGGCTTCTTCCAGATTTTCCTATAGCCTGAAATGCGACATCATCTACCGGACGCGCGATCCAGTGTACACATGCAATTCGTTGTGGATGAGAATCCATATTGCGTTTTATAGATGCGACACGATCTTGCGGTCCGAAGTCCCTATCCACTTGGTGTCCACTGAGGGCGAAATCGGCTGTGAGATGTAGATTGTTGACGAGGTTGAGAAGAAGCCGGAGCTTCCTCCAAAAAAATCGAAACTGATCGTAAACCTGCAACATCCTCTCTGGTCACAGACAAATTCCAGCTACTCCGAGGGTTTCGACCAGTTTATGTTTATACGGTTGGGCGGCTAGTAGTCATCCCAGTCCACGTGTTTGTTTGGTCGAGATACTTCCAGGCAAGTATATTTAATTAAGCTTATATTTGCTTGTTCAATATGGGTATGGAAATGATCACATATATATTATTTCAGCCACTTCACAGCCTGGAATGGACTGGGAAGAGGTCAAATGACGGATGCCGAGTGATTCAAATTTGTTTTCGACCTGATATATCTCTTTTACAAACTATTTTCACCCTTGGTTTGACCAAATCGAGATCGTTTACCCCAGATTTGGATGCGGCATATATCGACGGTACCAAAGTTGGTCACACTGGGCCATTGGCTCTACGTCTCATTTCCTACCTCTGATTCCTGAGAGAAGTATAAAGCTGGTGTTCTGGCGCAAAATTATACTCGAAATTGTGTTCCTGGGAACTTTCTCGGTCATTGCACAGTCGATCGTCACTTCACAATATATTCTGAGATGAGGATTTTCACTCTCTACGCAGGCCTTCTGGCTCTTGCTAGCCATGTGTCGGGTCATTGTAAGAACTCATTACATTCCATGAGAAGAATGAGACCTAACACACATCCAGATATCTTCCAACAACTCAACACCAATCCCACATACCAGTACATCAGGAAAAACACCAACATGAACTCACCTGTTATCGGTACCATCCACCGGCCCTAAAACCCGCCTTACAAGAACTAATTCCCAGCAGATCTCGCAAGCAAAGATCTTCGCTGCAACGTAGGCGCAACAGGCGCCGGCACAGACACCCTCCCCATCACGGCTGGCTCACCACTCACCTTCACCCTCGACCAAGCAGTATACCATCAAGGCCCAGTTTCAGTATACATGGCCAAAGCACCAGGCAAAGCCTCCGACTTTGACGGCTCAGGGGACGTCTGGTTCAAAATCCTAGATATCGGACCAAAGTTCCCTGGCGGGACTTGGGATTTGAAACGTAAATACCTGCTCCTACTCATCGTTTTACTTGCGATCTGATGATTGCTAACACCTTTGCAGAAAAGTACACCTTTAATCTCCCAAAATGTATCACAAACGGCGACTACCTCGTCAGGATCCAATCCCTCGCTATCCATAACCCTGGTTCCACGCCACAGTTTTATATCTCTTGTGCGCAGGTTACCGTTAGTGGTGGTGGATCATCGGATTTGGGACCCAAGGTTGCGATTCCAGGGGCGTTCAAAGCGACGGATCCGGGGTATACTGCTAATATCTATAATGGGGTACGTTTCTCTTTATCCGTGATCAGATGATATTTGGGATGCGAGCTGATTGTGATATAGTTTACATCATATACTGTGCCAGGCCCTCCAGTAGCTTCTTGCTAGCTGCGTAATGCAATTAGAGGAGGTGGTATATATATATGCTCTCTTTTTATATTTGGGGTTTATTCTGGCTTCATAGAACTATTGTAGCTTGGAAGTCAATGATCTCAGATATCGACTCGAGCTTTACGTATGCTTGTAACGAACTAGAAAGTACCAATGTATAACCTCATCGTTCCACTTTAACTCCGACTCGTTCTGATCCTTCTGAACAGTCAAAACAGATAACGTATCTTTTAAGAGAATGAAGTGATAAATCCAGAAGTGAGAACAACCCGAAAAATCTTCACCTATACTTTTGTCCACCCAAAGTCGTCATATCAAAGCAACGTATTAGCGAGATCTAGAAGGGTCGTCTGAATAAAGAAATTCCACTTTATATATCCTGGGGAAGCGGGGCATGACGCAATAAAGTGGCCTTGAATCATGGGGAGTCTCTCATGTTTCAATTCGGGGGGAAGGCTTTTGGAAGAGAGTGGGGAATTGAATATCATTGGACTACTATTAGAATTATAAGACCGCTCAATTCCCAGTTTTTGCAAAACTTGCATCAGAGATTCAGATCTAGTTGATATAAAGTTTTGTTTTTATTTTATAGATGATCTACCTGACAATTTTTAGGTAGCACTGACTGTCTATCCACAATATCTACCGTATGGGTTTGCAGCGATGTAACTGGTGTTTTTCTGGGGTATCACTATGTAAAGCTTCATTAAAGTTGAACTTGGGAGATGCTTGAAAATATTTGGGTTTTCGGTCTTTATCTTCTTCTACGGAATATACTTCTGGTTCAAAGTTAGAGGCTATTTCCTTGATGTAGTATGTGAACGCGGGGGTGGGGTTGGTTTTGATCTTCTGAGTATTTGGGAGACTTTTCTGGATGCTTTACCTAAACCTTCGAAATCCTTCCGAAACGTTTCCCCCTCCTGGTCTTTTAACTTTGTTTTCTTCTGGGTTGCCATCTCCTAGCGAAGGAGGGTGAGGAATGTTTATATGGCTGGGATTGATAAGAAAAATGTCTCGCTTTGCAAACCCCGACATACCAGCTATTAGAAGGCTTGTTTTTAAATACCCATGATATTCCCAGCACGAGGAAGCACTAGAATATTTCTGATCCTGTGGCCTTTGAACATTTTTTCCCATACCGAATGTCGATAAACTTACGAGTATTTATCGGAGAGTCCGAAGTGATCGCGTGCAATCAGGGACAGGCATGTGTCTCAACCAATGAAGAGAGCAGATGACTTCCCCGCAATTTGCAGTTATCATCGAGTAACAATCAGACACCGGCGATCTTATCTACCAAGATGGTATCTACACACACGCCACCAGCTCCTCACCCCTGGGATATCACCGCGGCTGCAGTGCGGATTCGGGGTCTTTAGCTTACTTCCCGCCATAACACTCGAGTATAATGCCCCCGAGGGCATTCTCGTAGAGGCCGTTTACACGCCGCGGGCCCCTCGCCGTATGCCGTACAGGTATACCCCACGCTATAACTCGAAGTCTTGAGGAACTGTGGCGGTCATGCTCTCATCTTACCATGCGGTACCGCTTCGTGACTCTGCTGGACCGTTAACAGGTTTGTACGAGTGTACGCCAATATCTACGGTTGAGACAATACATCAAGTGTTGATTTCTTGTCCTCCATAGAATTCTAGCTGGAGCTCTGTGAATGGAATAGCACTCTACCTGAGAATTATGTCTTAAGACTATGAGCATCTTACGTGGAGTCGGATATCAATGATAACGTTCACCACTCTTACTGCTTGAGATAAGAAGCCCAAAAGTACACCGCACAATTCCGTCCGGAGAAGCTGTCCAGCCAAGAAGCACCATACCACTCCAGATAACCCTTGATCAACGCTCTCCCGCATCTACAGCTACTCCCAGAAAGAATCCCTTCCTTTTTTCCTCTGGTTGCATGCAGATTGCAGATTGCAGATTGCAGATTGCAGATTGCAGATTGTAGATTGTAGAAAGCTCGCTTGGGCCTAGACGATCCTCCCCTCCCCCGCCCCTGGCAAGAGCTTTCCCATCCAGAAAGCCGGCCCTATTTATTACATCTAATGTCCCCTCCCCAACATGAGGATCTAGTATCCCCAAACTCCACAAAGTCTGGTGTTGCGAAGAAGGAAGATCTTGACGGAGAACGTGTGCCCTTACTCTTATCTGCCGGTCCCTCGAACTCTAGTCGAGCATTCGGCCGGTCCAGGCGTCATAGTACGGCAGATTCAGCCCTTTGTAACCAGCACAAAGATAACCAACACCCTCACGGACCAGAAGCAATAAATTATCATTCTTCCGACGAGCCATCTTTTCTCGACGCAATCATGGAGAAAGTTAAGGGAAATAGACTGGCGTATTATTTTGACAAATTGGCCGTGGAAAGCGAGCCGGGTCTGACGAATGCACAATTAATGCTGAATAACCATGATTTGAAGCCCGGTAAGATGAGCAGTACTACCACATGAAAATCTCATGTCTAACAGATTGTAGTTGAACCAGCACGACGACAATGGAGCAGTTGGAATTTTGTGGGTTTCTGGATAGCAGATTCATTCAATATCGTGAGCTTCTCAGAATTAATTCCCGGGAGCATTTTACTAACACAGCTGTGTAGAACACATGGATGATTTCATCTAGTATGATCGTAGGAGGTTTGAGCTGGTGGCAATCTTGGATTTGCGTATGGATAGGTTATTCTATCGCAGCCTTCTTCATATGCCTTACCGGAAGAATTGGTGCCACTTATCACATCTCCTTCCCAGTCGTAGCTCGTGCCAGTTTCGGAATCTGGGGTGCTTTATGGCCAGTTCTGAATCGAGCTGCCATGGCATGTATTTGGTATGGAGTACAGTCATGGATTGGAGGTAAATCTACATATCCTTCTTTTCGAACGACACTTGACTAATATGATCAGGAAATTGTGTCAAACTCATGATTTCAGCAATCTGGCCCTCTTTCCAGAGAATCCCCAATGGAATCCCCAGTTCCGGGACAACGACATATGACTTCGTGGCGTTCTTCATATTCTGGGCCGGCTCACTACCAGCTATTTGGTTTCCAGTCCACAAAATTCGTCATCTATTTACCGTAAAAGCATACGTAGTCCCAGTTGCCGGTGTAGCATTCTTCATCTGGGCAGTCGTTCGCGCTCACGGAATCGGACCCATCGTCCACCAACCAGCAACAGCAAGCGGTTCCAAACTAGCCTGGGGAATAATCAGCGGTATCATGTCCTCCATTGCCAACTTCGCAACACTAATAGTCAACGATCCCGATTTCTCGCGTTTCGCCAGGAAGCCAAAGGACGCATTTTGGTCTCAACTCATCACCATCCCATGCGGATTTGCCGTCACCTCATTCATCGGGATCATCGTCTCCTCATCCTCAACAGTAATCTTCAAGGGTGACCCAATTTGGAGTCCTCTCAGTTTACTACAATCCTTCCTCGACGAAGGGACGCCCAAGGACCGAGCGGGTGTCTTCTTCATCGCCATGGCTTTCACACTTGCACAATTAGGAACCAACATAGCAGCCAACTCCGTCTCAGCAGGGACGGATATGACCGCCCTCCTCCCACGGTACCTGAACATCCGTCGTGGTGGCTACGTCTGCGCAATCGTCGGATTGGTCATGTGTCCTTGGAATCTGCTATCTACAGCTAACAACTTCACCACCTACCTCTCGGCCTACTCTGTCTTCCTATCCTCCATCGCCGGTGTGATCATTTGCGATTACTACATCGTCCGGAAAGGATACTTCGAAGTGAAGGAACTATATTCCGCTCGCAGGACCTCGCCTTACTACTTTACATTCGGTATCCATTGGCGTGGATACGTAGCCTATATTTGTGGAATCCTTATCAACATCGTTGGATTCGTAGGTGCTATTGGGAAACCAGTTCCTATCGGTATGTCCTATCCTGTCCCATGCTTCTTAACCCCCTTTCTAGCCCTCCTCATCCCCATCCTCTTAAATCCGTGGCTAACATACATCCAGGCGCAACATACATCTACAACCTCAACTTCTTCTGCGGCTTCCTCATCGCCTCGGGCTCCTACTGGGTCCTCTGCACCCTCTTCCCCATCCCCGCAACCAGCACAGTCTGGTGCGAAGTCGGCGAAGAGATAGCAGAAGTGAGTATGGCGTATGAAGCCTCCAACGAGGGGAGCTTCTACGACGAGAGAGGTGCTGGAGCCAAGGGGTTTCATCAGGGAGATGCGAAGGTGGATCTCGAAAGATAGATAGATAGGTAGACACCAAGATGAAATTTGGGATAGAGTATATACTTATTGATGATTTGGATGAAGATGGAGTTCTTTTTTTCGCTTTTTGGCTTTGGGGTATATGGGATATAGGGTATACAGAGGGGATTCGATTATCGGGGTTACAGTACGGTGTGAGAGCGGAGAGATACCATTGTGTTTTTCCCTTGCCTTCCTTCGTTGTATGGGCGATTAGAGATGTCTTGAGAAGTTCAAAGGATAGAAACAGAAACATATCCCTAATCTTAAGAAGAAGAAAAAACCATCACCCCCTTCGCCATAGTCACCTCCGTATATCAGCCGAACCCAACATGATACAAGAAATATTCCCAACACTCCCTTCCGTTCACTCAAACCATTTCATATTGAGGTTCCTTGAAGTACCTCTCAACTTTCACTTCTACCACTCAGTCGGGAGATATCCCCGTTCATTTGTTCTAGGCCAATTGTTCCAGAAGCCGTCTTACTATGGTGTCTTCTCAGGATATACGTCGAGTATTGACTGGGTCTCTTGTGTGGCAATTGATAGCTTTTCCAACACCATCGACTAAATCAGTTCTGGGTAATTGCCACCTCGCGCAAGACTGAACTTTGATATTCAATCTGACAGGAGGCTGTTCCACTTCTAAAAGGGCGAGGGAGAAATCATGTCTACAGAAGGGGCATGGAATGATTCATGGCTGTAGTAGAGTTGGCTAATGTAACTAACAAATCAGACACAAACGGAACCTTGTCATTGACCACGTAGTTTGCAGATTAATCAGGATTGCTTCAGAAGTGTGGTAGCCCACAATTTAATCTCTATTCATCGGCCGTTCAATGGCATTTTCACATGATTTTTGAATTTTTTGTTGAATTCTATTTTTGATTGAGCTCCTGAGGTGCCATAATCTGGAGTACATCTTGCCAATTGACAAGAATTTGCAAACCCCGCAAAGTTTTCCCGACCATGCTTTCCCAAACGCGTACAATCATAAAAACCCCTATGCTCTTGACATAACACCCCAAGCTCGGATGATGTTGTCAGTGTAACCAGCAAACAAGGTCTGTCCATCAGCGCTCCATGCCAAACTAACACACTCTGGCTCTCTGCTCTTCTTGCCAACCTGTTGGAATTCAGGCTTCAATTCGTCAACCTTGCTCTTCTTCTCCAAATCGAAAATGATGATGCTGCTAGAGGTGGCAGCGCAAAGCCAGTATCTGTTGGGGGAGAAGACAAGGGCGTGGATCTCATCACCAGCGTTCAAGGAGTATAGGTGCTTTGACTCGTTCAAGTCCCAAAGCATAGTGGTTCCGTCCTTTCCACCGGATGCGCAAAGAGATCCATCTGGGGAGATTGTGACGGTGTTTATGTAACCAGTGTGTCCGATGTGGTCGGTTTGCAGTCTGCAGGAAGAAAGCTCCCAAACCTGTTACATAGTGTTAGCATCGTTATTCTTCACCTCGAATATATGAAGCTGAAGCATGCGAATCTCGATCAGGGCAAAATGGTGAAGGTTAGTCTCATGGCCTGGTCGCCCAGGCTCTGAAGTAGCAAATACGTTTGTTGCAAAACATCATGTAAAACTCGCATGCTTCGTGAGCCAAAAATAAAAATTGATTATGCCATACCTTGACGAGCTTGTCCCATCCAGAACTGACGATAACTGGGTTTTGTGGGTTAGGGCTGAATCGAACGCACGAAACCCAGTCGGTGTGTCCCTTCTCGTTGATGGTGAATTTGCAGTCACCGAGAGTGTTCCACAACTTGATGCTTCGGTCGCGCGATCCGGAGACAATCTGTCTGTTATCGGCGGAGAAGGAAACGGAGAGGACGTCATTGGTGTGTCCGACGAAACGGCGGGTGGTGGTACCGGTAGAGAGCTCCCAGAGACGGAGGGTTTTGTCCCAAGAAGCGGAGAGGGCGTAGGCACCGTCAGAGGAGATGACCTAGAGGAAGTCTCAGCACACAATTCCCATATAACTATTCACGGACCAATGTTCTAGTCCCCCCCAGAGTTCGCGCAAAAACGTACACAGTCAGAAACGATGTGGGAGTGACCGTGGAGAGAGCGTTTTGGGTATCCGTAAGAGCTCTCGTCACGGGTCAAGTTCCAGATGATCAAGGTCTTGTCGCGGGAACCTGAAAGGAGCATGTTAGGGTTCTCGAGGGAGGTCGCGAGCGAGGTGACCCATCCGCTGTGGCCCTCAAGGGTGCCCTTGAGAATGAGTTGCCTGCATTTTTAGTTAGCCAGAGGACAATTTTGGGCGACATGGTGTATTGGGGCACTTACTCGGTCATCTTGAGTGTTTGGTTGCTCAATCGCGGAATTGGAGTTGTCGAGACAAATATTCGAGCTCGACGTAAATCCAGTGGCCCTGTTTGTGGGCGGGCTCGGCAGGTCACGGGTTTTCGCTTATGACTTCTACCCCATCTAAGCTGGATTGGGGTTAGCGCGGGGTCAACGACAAGACAGGGGTCATGGCCACCAATCATGACATGGGCTTGGTTGAAGCTCCACCAAACCTTGCTCTTTAGTAAGCTTCCTTCCTGGAATTCGATATGCTGCTCTCCGCATCTCATGGCCATCGATGGCATAGCGAAAATGGTGAACCCAAATTGCTCGCCCTTTATAATTTTAATTTGTGTATTCTTATGTGATGTCTCCTTACAGGAAGCCCAGTCAGTGCAACAAAGTGGATGCTACAAAAATATAGCCATGTACAAGTCGTAAGCGAAGCATATGCAGGAAGCAAAGAGGTCTTGACTGCTTTCGAAGTTAACGCTGCTCCAACAACCAACCTTCAGCCAGTACTCGAGTAATTGTCACTTTATTTCAATAAATACTTTATTTGCTGCTTGGCTCCTATGGTCATCTCGTGATTGAGTTTTACTCAATGACAACCTCCGCCAGTATCATGCGCCTATTATAATGTACATCACAATATCTCATCGACACCAAGGATTCACTTTTTTCCCTTGCCCTTTGGTTTCACCTTGGCCTTGGCCTTCTTTGGCTTTACCTCTTCCTCAGAATCCATGTCTGTATCATCACCCTTGACCGCCTTCTTCTTAGAGGCCGTCTTTGTTGTCGACTTTTTAACCTTTGGTTGCTTGATATATTTGTCCTTCTTCAACATAGTCTCCAAATCCTCCTCGGCCTTTGGCTCATCAGCTGGGACTTCTTCATCATCATCTTCTAGAGCTTCTTCAATATCCGGCTTTTCCGCCTTGACTTTTGCTGTAGGTGCCGTGATATTACCAGCCTTCATGAAAGGCAGTGGATGCGACTTTTGGTTGTACCTTTGTTTTAGTTAGCATCCTGTAAGTTTTAGAGTACTGTTTTCCAACTTACAATCGTGTAAAGGTGGCCTTGGTCTGAGACTCGATTTTCACATTACCCTCGTCCTGTGGTCCAAGGCCAAGCTCCATAATGAAATCGAAATCCTCTCTTGTCAAGAAGTAACTATCCATTAGATTAATCACCTCTTCAACACAATCCTTCCCTTCTTTTTGAAGTCGGTCAATCAATTGAGTCCAGAGAACAGGTAGGTATTGTTGCCGAATTTCATGGCGATCTCCAGATGTTCGAAGGCGCATATGAGATTGAATTTCCTTGACATAACGAACTAGCTTTGTTTGCTTGCTGTTATTTCCAAGCCACGCCGTAAAATTTGTTCTGCCCGTGGGCATGCCGGATATAAAGCTAGCAGGTCTTACTGTACTGAAAACACCATGGACTGGCATCAAGCTCCATTGTTGTTGGGAGCCATGAATCATTCGATCCACCAAATCTCCATCGCTGATACTCTCAGCTGCTTTGTCGATAAGTTCCAATGTCTTCAATCTCTGTTCGCGGCCTGGGTGGCAATTCGCAGCTAGAATTGGCTTAGTGCTGAGGTAGTTCTCCTGAACCATGAGAAAACTCTTATCATGATCGTTGAAATACAATTCGATTTTGTCATTTAGAGTAGCCTTGCTGGAAGGGGCAAACATTCCTCCACTGAGAATCTTGCCGCAAATATCCCATGGTTTCAGTACGACTGATTTCTCCCAAGCCTTCGACATAGCCTTTCCTTCGTCAAAGTCCATCACAGTCTGATCGAGTTTGGCAGTCGATATCATGTTGATGATCTGGCGAATGTCTTTGTTACTACCTTCGATGAGGGCATCAATAACGGGCATCGGAAGCTTGAGTCCTTCTCTATGGCAAATGGTAGCAATGCGAGATCTGATCATTTCGACAGTGGGTCGTTGGAACTTAATGTCAAATACAACGTGATCGAATGGTTTCATCTTTGGGAGCCCGCGCTCATTGCAGATCAAAACCATCGGGATATCAGTCGTCTTGCACAATTTTGCCAAAGCTCCAACACCACCACGATCTCCAGCCGACATACCATCAACTTCATCCATGATCAACAGGATGTTCTTCTTCTTTGCGTCGACAGATTTCCCATCTCCAGTATAGAAGCCAACCATGGATGTGTTATTCAATACTTCAGTCAAGCCCGAATCAACGAGTTTCTTGCTGCGAGTGTCACTAGCATTGCTCTCCAAAACATCGTAGCCAGCCAATTTAGCAGCAAGATGAGCAGCAGTTGTCTTTCCGATGCCAGGCGGACCTGAGATCATAATTGCTCTGTAGCCACCGAGGCCGTCCGGACCTCTCTTCTCGTGATTGTACTTATGAGCATAAGACCAGCCCTTCAGCCAAGACTGAATATTCTCTACGTTGCCCTTATTGCCACAGATCTGATTAATTTGCGTCGGCGCATACTTGCTGGTCCATAGCAAGGAGCTTGAGGGTGGTGGCCGAGGTGCTGGAGGTCTATAGGTGGAGCCCTTCGAGGATACAAGTTTCTCAGCAATGTTTCTTGCCTTCTCGGCCTCAGCAGCTTTCTTCAATTCTTCTTTCTCCATGGCTTCGGCCTCTCGCTTGATCTTGGCCATTTCTGCTGCCTTTTTCTCCAAGCTCTGTTCAGCGGCCTTTCCGTCTCCACCATTTGCTGGCATAGTTGCGATCAGTGCAAACAGGCCATCTTCATCAACTGTTTTGATTTTGAGATCGTGAATCTTCTTGATCTTAGAGGGACCAGCGTCGGCACCGAGAACCACGAAATCAGTTCTTCCACTAGGCGCACCCGTGACTTTACCGCCGTACCTCTTTACTAGTGCTGTTCCGTCGTCTCTTGAAAGAGTTTCCAACAAACCGGTAAATACAAATGTCAAACCAACCAAGCAATTTTCTGCGCCTTCGGGAATTTCCTTTGAGCCTTGTGCAGGAGGAGCGGCAGAAGCATTACCACCACCAGGGGCGGCTTTTCTCCAATCGAATTTCGCATTTTCATCTTTTGGAGGCGTTGGAGGTCGTACAAGAGGAATGTTGTTGAGGATAGCTTGAACTGCCGCACTTTCCGTCTTTTCGGCCTTCTTCGCTGGAGCTCGCTTTTTGGCTGGAGGTTGCTTTGACGATTTTCCTTTTACCGGTTTAATATTGGGTACAACGTCGTCGTCCTCCTCAGATTCCAGGTCGACGGATTTTCTCTTCTTGCTTACTGCCCTCGCTGCTGGTTTTTCAATTACCATGTCATCGCTATCATCCACCATGACAATGTCCTTCATCTCAACATCTTCGTCCTTCTTGGATCCCGCCTTATTTTTCGATACGGGCTTTTTAGGTTTTGCTACCATTGGCTCATCGTCGCTATCGATCTCAACATATGCATCCTTCTCTCTGCCGCCCTTTCTGACATTGGCAGCTAAAATATCATCTCCAGCGTCCTCATCGTCATCCAGAAACGCCAATTCATCCTGATCCAAGTTTTCACTATATGTCTTTGGCTTGTTTTTGCGAGCGGATGATCGGCTACTACTATCAATTTTGGGGGTTGCTAATGACTTAGTAGGAGTGGATGTCGGCTTGGAAGGTTTGGGCTTGGGCTTTGATTTGGTTGATGCAAAGTAGTCTTCTGTCGTAATCTCTTGGTCTTTGGGCGACTCTTTCTTGCTAGCAAATGGTCAATGGGAGTATAGCGACATGAGGTTGGGTGTACATACACTGGTTTCTTGACAACCGATGGCTTTGGCGTAGCTTTTTTGGGTCTGCTGACGTATCAAAATTTGGCTTCTTTGATAGCACTATCTACCTACGTTGGCTCTTCATCGCTGTCATCAACGACCTTTCGGTTTCCTAGTACAATGTTAGTTTGTTCTGGCACGTAGATTTAGGCAGGTGGACTTACTGCCCCGTTTCTTCTTGGAATCTTCCTCTTTGTTGGTCGCCTTCTCCCTGATAGGAGGAGAGGTTTTGCCCCCAAAGAAGCTCCGGATGTCCGCAGGCATGTTGGGCGCTGGTGTTGATGAAGTTGAAGTCGGATTCTCAGAGAGCAAGTGGTGACGCGCCGACCAATAGCACTTAACGCGACTCCGACTTCCCTACAAAATCATTCAGGGATATGTGGAGTAAAAGCGGCGCTCTTACAGGGGTCGTTCGGGTGCTGTCTCAACCCACGCTTAGTCATTCACTTTTTGATGGACATGGGGATATTCATTGAAGCTCTGTAGAATCTCATAGCTCCATTAGAGCAATCCACCCCCACCATGAATACTCGAAGCATCTCGAGCTTCGTCGCTCAATTGGAGAAGCTCTCCGTAACTTCCTCGCCTCTGCGACCAATCCTCTCCTCCCTCTCCTCCTCCAAACCATTTCAATTGAAAAATGTCACTCCCATATCCCGTCGACCATTCTCCATTACGGCAAGCCGAGCAGGCAATTGGCTCCTCCCTACCGCACCAGAGAAGAAGAGATCGCGAAAGGGAAGGCCTCGTGTGCCAACGGGGGGTTCTGCGAGAGGAACAACAATGGTATGGGGGGACTACGGACTGAGAATGTGCGACCATCATCGAAGAGTTAGTGCTACGCAGCTGAAGATTGGGGAGGATGCTATCAAAGTCCGTCTCAAGGGAATGAAATATCGTCTTTATAAGAGAGTTTGCGCCAGCATTGGTGTATACAGCAGTGGTAACGAGGTATGCTCATTGGAATAACTCGAAGCCCGGCCTAGAATGTGGAACTAATTCCAAGACAGGTGCGTATGGGTAAAGGAAAAGGTTCTTTTGATCATTGGGCATCCAGAGTTGCTGTCAGCAAGGTCATTTTTGAATTGAAGGGAGATATCCACGAGCAAGTGGCAAGGGACGCATTTCGATTGGCTGGTAACAAGATGCCAGGTCAGTTGACCAACTCGACTTCTATATCTGTTTTACTAATTACTTTCAGGCCAATATGAATTTGTAAAGAAGGGAGACCCTCCGGTTGTGGGAATAACAAAGTTGGATGGAATCACTTTGGAAGAATTAAAACGACCGAGGCGGAAGGTTCCCCTACCTATGCCAATCATACCTGGAGCAGATGCCTCACCGACCATCTCTCCAGGTGCTTAGGTTCCATTTGTAATATACCCCTTTTCTGTGAGAAGAGACATGCTTGTAAAATATGGCGAGATAGAAAGAAGAGTGTTTGTCGCCAAATGTATAACCACGATTTTTTCTAACATAATCGCCAACTCGCTTTCCGTGTATCAAAAGCGTATCGTCGAACACAAACACTCAAGTATCGCGTCTATCTTGGACGTATCTCAAGCGGAAAATCAATCTTCACAAGCCAATCTTTCTCAGTAGCCTGCTCGCCCCCCTTCCCCCTTCTCTATTCGAGTATTGTATCTGAGTCTCGTCTTTGCTAGATTTGATGAATTACCTTACAAGGGACCCGTGCTCGGAAAATCAAACTAGCTTCTGTAGGAGTATGAAAAATTGCTATCATTGAAACTCTTGTTAGTCCGTTCCAAGTAAATTGCCTAGCTGGAAAAGGTTGATATGGAGCTTTCCTCGACGAATCTCGCATCTCTTGAAGACTTCAATTTTGATGTAAACATAGACAAAACATACCTACCATGAAGCTTCCAAGCTAGTAGGAAGGAGGTTACCAGATCAACCACGATACTAATACAGTAAATCGAGAAATCATGTAATAATAGCCTTCGGATAGATGGAGGACACTGTATGGTTATTACCTGGTAGCATGTATGTGGTGCGGTTGGGGTGGTCTTCGTCTAAGCTTAAGCGAGCTGATACTAAGAGACGAATCATCGTAATACACCATCTCCTTCATCATACAGCTTTGACATTACTTAAGACTATTTATGTAGCCGACAGTTTATCTCGATCTTCCATTACCAATGTCTATTCAAATCATGTTATCTCTTGTTCCCCCATTAATGAATACCTATAATTTCAAACCAAGTCTCAGTTTGTACGTGTATTAATATAGCTCTACTGGAGATTTAAGGCACCTTTCAATCGACCTATCTCTAAGCTCTCTCGTCCACCTTGGTACGATGACTTTAGGACAAGAAAAGACGACACAGAACAATAAGAATGAAACTGGAGGCCGAGAAGTGACCGTCGGAAAAGCTATAGAATATCGAGTGTATAAAAATAGATACCTGCTTGCGACAATCAAGAATTTGATACTTGAAATTGTTTGTATTAGGGAGACTGCTGTTGAGAGAGGCGATCATGACTGTGCATACACCTGAGTTATAGTAATATTATCTTGAAGACCTTACACAACTAAAACAATTATACAAATAGTTTAGAACGATTATTACCAGGTTTTTTACATTCCACTTCTTTATGAAAAGTTTCTCAATGTAGAAAGTGACTGAGAATCTGATTTCTGCAAAGTGAACTGACAAAATTTACAATTTCAGCTACCGCAGCAGCTAAAAAGTGTAACTCATTCCCCCAATTTTCATGACTAATTGTCCATAGGCCCGTCTACTTCAGGTCCAAAGAGGTAACGCCACCTTATCTAATCGAATTCAGATAGAATCCTGTTGTAAACACACCAGCACCTAACACAAATCTTTCTCACCTAATATCTTCAATTACGAACATCTCAAAATAACACCCCCTCCTCGATATCATACATCCATTCCAACAATCTACACAACCCATTATTTCCCCACACCTCCGTTCCCTTCCCACTATTCATCCCTCATCCTTCTTCCCAACCCAAAGAGGGAGCAAGTTCTCACCACCTCACCACAATCCCCGGATCCCATCATCCAATCCAGACATTTTACCCGGGTGGAATCCGCACTCCGAATCCCGACCTCCAGCCGAGCGTCACCAATTGCATACTCGCTCCTACTGATTGCAAGAAAAGAGGAGTCCCACAGGATGACATGATGTTGGTATTAAGTAGGGGAACTGGGGAGGGAGGCTCCGTACCGTACAGGACATGGATGTTATCGAATGTGGGGTTCTGGGTTGGAAAGCGGGGGTTGGGATGGACATCCACTCCCGAATTGAGGTACTCGTACTCGAGTGCTTGTATTAGAGACTCAGGAGTTGGAGGACAGAAATTGAATTGAAGACAGAGAGCAACTCAAAATGAAGAAGACGATGGATAAGAGAGGCCAGATAGATATCCCAAATACAGTCATTGGAAATAGCCACCTTTAAAGTCGTTCTTAAGACATCTCTGGGCTGTGGGTAATACCAACCCGTCCGGAACTGATTTATCCCAGAAAACATCAGAGTCTGAGATGCATACCTTTAGCCCCCTCTCATTGGCAAGGCACTCGATACATATGTATCGACTGCTATTCCCCGAAGCCCCTCATTGACACCCCCTGACGTGCCAATTCTGACCCCTCTTTCTCCTATCCCCATAATCATACAGACTGCTCTACCAAATTCATCATCTCCTCCTGATACTCCTGTTAATCAACATCCAACCACCATTCCAATCCCAAACAAAACAAAAACATAACAGCCAAGATGGAACAAGGAAGCTGCCACTGCGGCCAAACAGCCTGGGAAGTAAAACTAATCGACAAAGTCCACATCCTCTGGTACATACATTCCTATCTCCATCCCCTCCCATCACTAACAAGCCAGTCATTGCGGCGTATGTCAGAAACTCGGCGGCGGACCCGCATCTCTAAACCAAATCGTCCCGAAAGAGAATTTCAAGCTGAAGAAAGGAAATTTGAAGGTGTATACTTACTACGGAGACTCGGTAAGTGCCTACCTCCACTTTTTTGCTTTCCGACACGCAATTGGTGTACAAGTTTTATTCTCCATGAATTTTTTCGTAGAAGAGATATTCTGTGGCTAATACCCATTTTTCCACCGCAGGGAAAGGCTGTGAGGTGTTACTTTTGTCCGAATTGCACCTCCCACGCCTACCATCACCAAGAAATCATGGGAAATCATATTGTTGTCCGGACCATGCTCCTTGAATCGGCAAGGAGTATGCCACCTGGCGCTGAAATATTTGGAAAGGCTCGGTTGCCGTGGGTGAAAGAAGTTGCTCAGACATTCGATACCATGCCACCAGAGTAGGTTCTCCTCGGAAATGTTGCTATATGTTGGAGGATATCTGACTTCTTCAAGCGAACCAGAACCTAAATCGAAATTGTGAAAATGTTGGTGTGGGAATTGAGAAAGAGGGGTTTCACTGTGGAATATTTTTGTGTATTTTAAAGACATAAATGCATGCCTCGTCCTAACATCAGCGTCATCTTGGTCATTATATACCTATTCTCTACAACCCTTGCTAGTAACAAATAGAAGTCCTGCGCCGTAAAGACAGCCCGCCGACCTGTCGGCCTTGACGACCATTCGCAATCCAAATCCCTAAATAAGATGCTTTGATCTGTGACCCCATTAGTTCCTAACCATTGCGTATCCAGTTTCTTCAAAACGTACCTGAAGTACGCCCTCAAATAAATGACCTGCCATGCTCCCAAAGCAACCAACATTCCCATAGTCGAAAAAGCAAACCATTTGACCCTGTTGTTCGTACTCTCATTGGTATCTCTAAGCTTCTGCTCACGACTTCTCAAGTAATCCATCTCCGAGACGATTTCTTGAACCATTTCCTCGATGCGCCGTAATTCGGTCTCGACTGGCTTCAGTTTCTCGGTGGCTTGAACAGCGGACCAATCTTTTGCGTCTGCTCCGATATCGATGTCGAGTTCAACGTGTCTAAATGGGTTGGAAACTCCAGTTCCTGAAACAGAGAGTTAGTGTCGTGTGTATGGCCAATGGAATCGGGAATTGAACTCACTGCCAGTGTAGTGATTTTCGAAGCAGACATCAAATGATGCATCGGCATGAGATGTGAATGCCATTCTCTGCTCCCCAACTACATCTTTTGGCTTTCCATATTCGTTTCCAACAGCATCCTTGATCTGTATAGCCAATTAGTACCCTTCAACATAAAACTGAAGGGCATAACTCACATGCATATCAACCTTCATGCCATCACCCCTCTCTCCATCCAGAGTCGCAGTAACAACAACTAAAGTGTCCTTCGCGACAAAGTTTCGGATACATCTTGTACGGCTGTTGTCTCCTACACTTCTTGCCTCGATATCGAACTTTAAGGCTTCGGCGCAGGCCAGAAATAACAGGAAGCTGCAGCAGGTTCGCAGCATTGATTTGGAATACACCATTTCGTCGGGTATGGTTGTGCAAGGTCGGAATTAGTAGTATGGGCTGTATTGCAATTGTCGCGTAAAGCGTAAAGGGGAATTATTTTAGACGTGGCTCTTTCATGAGATCTGGCAGGGATATGAGCACCCGACGGCGGCGTTGAAACCCTGGAATTCTGTGTCACGTGCTATAAGTTGCACCCGTCGCGACGCAGGTGAACTTCATGGTCGCAAGCTGGAGCTTCAAGCATCTTTGAAGGAGACACCCGAGTACCTCAACACTTTCTATTCATCTACCACATCTGCCAATATGCCGAAATGTAAGTCTCGCTCTCGCGATGTATTGATACAACTACTAACCCCCGAATAGTCTTCTGTAAGCCACCTCCGCGCAAACTGACATTATCTATGTCTGATAAATACTACTGTTCCACAATCCCACGATACTGCGCGTAACTACGTGCTAACCTCACCTCTTAGGCGATTACTGCGATGTTTACCTCACGCACGATTCGATGAGCGTTCGAAAGGCGCATAACAGTGGAAGAAATCATTTGCGAAATGTTGTGGATTACTACCAGCGTACGCCTTCCAATCTTATACCAACGCTGAGCGACTTAATACTGACTTGGGGTTGCAAACAGAAATCGGTCATGAGAAAGCGCAGAGTGTCATTGATTCTATTACCTCGTCTTATGCCGCAGAAGGTCAATCCTCATCAAATCCTATGCTCGGTCAAAACCCAGGAGTCCATCCACCTCCTCCATTCGCATTCCCAGGTGGTATGTTATTCTCTTTTTCCAAACAACCCCAATATATACTTCACACAGAATTCTAACCCCTTTACAGGTATTCCTCCACCATTCCCTATTCCCGGAATGCCCCTCCCACCCCCAGGTGCCCTTCCTCAAGGCATGATTCCTCCACCAGGCGGACGCGGTATGCCTCCAATGCCCCCTTTCCCTGCTGGTGGCCCCCCAATTCCAATTCCAGGAATGCCTTTTCCACCACCGGGAGGTCTTCCTCCAAACTTTCAATTCCCACCTCTACCAGCTGGATTACAGCCACCGCCTGGATTTCCTCCGATACCTGCACCAGGTTTTCCTCCAGGAGGACCTCCTGGACAACAGCAGGGTGAAGATAGAAGATGATGAGGATGTGGATTTGATTAATGGGAAACAGAATTCTTGTCGAAATTTACACGGGGGAGAAGGTGGAGTATCTTCCGGAAAGTAGTGGCATTGCATAGCAAAGAAGCTGATGGCTGGAGCTAGCAAAGAAGACGAAGATGTAATTATAGGAGCGAGAAAAGCAAGATTGGGTCTCGAGGCGTTTATGGGACGGATTTGGGGAAATCAATCTGCAATACTTTTATGAACAAACCAAGTTCCTCAAAATGCGATGCGTTTTGTCGTGGTGTACTGAAATCATTTTTTCTATGTGATTCCTGTCTTTGAAGACTAATGTATGTTAAGCATACCTTTTGAATTATCTCAAGTACCTCAAGTGCCCCAAGTCCAAATTGTAGGATGAGCCATTACAATAAAATTCCCTATCAACAAAAGCTATTCCGAGTTGCCAAATCAGAGCCCTTATCCTCCCTTAATTAGACACCCTGATTTGGCGAAGTTTATATGAGCTCCCAGCTCCAACCTCATAGCTGTATTTCTAATATCAGTTGTCATTCTCATTGGGTTTTGAGCATGACGTCGATGGCCAAGATTCCAGCCAGGTAACCACATATGAATCACCCCTCGGACTCAAAAAGGGATCCCGAACTTGCATCATGACTTGGCCCTCGAAATCAAGAACCATCCTTTTTTCTTCTTTTGCTGTGAAATATCTTCCAAAGAGAATCTTGCAAAGTGGCTATGCCCTTCATCTGACATATACCCATCTGGATGACGCCCATCTCTAAACCTGAACTCCAACCTCGCTGCTGGAGGGGGAAAAATCGGATAGAATGAATAGCCGTATAGCAGCCTAATCCGAGCCCGAGTCTTCGGGTGGCTGTTGGGTATCTCTGAGTTGCTGGGGAATCAAGATATCAGCACCAGCACGAACACGTCTCTTCTCATCCCCTGCTCTACCCTTCCATCTCATCTCTTCCCACCGCCCTCTCATTTCTCGCCCCCTCCCAGCCTCCAACCCAAAGACCCAAAACACAAGCAAGAATAAACGGGATAAAGATAGAAAACTGGAAAAAAGGGGGCAAGGTGGGGGAACATACATCATCAAGCCTCCTCTTCAACTCCCCCAGCATATTCTCCTTAATGACTAGCGTCTGATCATCGAGTTCCTCTACCACGAAATGGTGGGACTCGCTGTCGATTTTCATGATTATTGCTTTGATGGAGGGGTCGCATTCTATGAGGACGCCTGGTTGTGTTGTGTTAGAGATCTAGTGATATGAAAGCAGGAGGGAATGGGATGGGGTGGCGGGAGGAATGGATAGTTGGAGTTGGAGTTGGATGTAAGGTGTATGGGAATTTACCTCTTATTGCTCGTGGCATTTTTTTACCGTGGGGGTTTATGAGGAGGGTGGTGTCAAGGTTTGGTGGTTGGTGGGTGGTTGAGTGCAGTGTTCTACTCGTACTCGTGTGTTGTTATTGGATGCCTTTTTTGATATGTATGGATGGTCCCTGGGTTGGAAGCTTGGCTTTGTTGTCCGCTTGGGGGGGATTTAATGCGAGGATGAATGCCCCCCAACAACAAGATGGGTACAAGAACTTTCACTTCACCAATATAAACGTTGATATCGTATCAATCAATCTGTTATCTAACATTCATCCACATATCAACTCCCAAAATAGAACGTGCATTTCCAAGCTAATCCACAATTAAATTTTATATCGCACGCACTTGGAGGGGCTTTCCGGTCTTCCGGGTCGTACCAAGAAAGAAAGTCTCTGATTGGTCTCAAGACCAGCAAATCCCGGGTCTAAAAAAGCTTGTCTTGCCGGGAGGCCGAACATGGCTGAGGTGTGTTTATGTGTAGTACGCTCCGTAGCTACTGGAAGTAAGTTACCGCAAAGAGGCAGAGAGATGAAAAGCATTGAGGTTCTACTCGGGTAAGTAAATCTTAAATCCTCATCAAAAAATGCAATAAAACGTTCGTTCTGGTGAAGAGAATTATGCAATAATGGTTGTGCCTTGACGGTGTTTCCGTTGTCATTTCCTCCGTGCTGACCAGACGGGAAACGACACGCAAGGCAACGCATCAAACTGAAGTTAGATTTTCCCCATCTGGGCCATCTCACAGCTTCCACTACTCAGCATAACCTTTGGCGTGACGCCACTGGACTCGTCTCTCTTGTCTCATCATGCTGGATTGCGATTTCGCTCGCGAGCCTGCACTGCCCGCACTGCAGTCTGCTAATCTTTCTCAGATGTCTTCTCGGTGAAATACTGTAGTTCCAATCCAGAGGGAGACACTGCAGATTCCTACAACAGCCTACCCTGGTGTTATAGACGAACTTCGCACGCAATCTTCCAGCCTGCTTATTTTTCTGTTCCAAGGAGGGGGGATTATATAGGACCCGACGGGCGAATCGCACTCGCCGGAACATCCGCGTTTTTTTCTCTTCCTTTCAGAGGAGGAAGTTCTACATTCTTCGACGAAAGAGACGAAGAGGAGATCTCTAGATATTGACCATGACGATGGCGAAACGGAGGAGATCAGCTAGAAGTGATTGTCCTTGTACTCACACATCCGGCCTTCCTTTCTCCTCAACCCTCCTCTTCCTCTCTATAATCCTACCCTCAACATCATACGCCCAAGTCGTCTCACAACCACCAACAAATCCAAATACAAATCCAACGCCAGCACCCACACCCTCAGACCCCCTCCGATCAACTCTTTTAACGACAACACCCAGCTCCACCAACGCCGCAGTCCCCAGCCTAGTCATCCCTCCCCCACCCCCAGACGACGACAACAACGACCCCCAGGTCTCCACCCAAGGCGCCCACGTCTTCAAATACTACTTCCTAATCATCGCCGTGGTAGCAATCATCTTTGTGCTAGCAGTCCTCTACTTCGGGCGACGACGCAAACGCAAAGCCGAGATTCTACGTACCAACTCGCAGCGCGCGCTCGCCCAGGACGTAGCGGGGTTCCATGAGCGCTTTGGGGCGGGTGCTGCCCCTTCACGATTCGTTGATCGCAGGTTTGGCGCTGCCGCGAGGGGGTTTGGGAGATCGAGTGCGGGCGCGAGTAGAGGTGGGAATCCGTTTCCCTTTCAACTTTGGGGGATGAGGGGTGGGAGAGGGGAAGAAGGGTTGGATGAGAGGGGGGAGGCGCCGCCGCCGTATGGGGTGGGGAGTAAACCGCCGAGTTTGAGGAGTGTGAGGGTGGAGGCGGTGGAGTTGACGAGTGTGAATACGAATGAGAATGGCAATGGAAATGGAAATGGGAATGGGAATGGGAATGAGACAGGGACTGGAACTGTGAATACGAATGTGAATGTGAATGGAAACGAGGGGACAACCACCGAAGTCGCAGGACGTGGTGAGCCACCTGGGTACGATGAACATCCCTCTCCTCCCACCAATACCCAGCGAGAAGCAGATCTAGGGGATCTGGATATGACTCGACCTACTCCTTCCATTCCCCCGCCAGCTGCGGTGGTCACTCGACCGGAAAACACTGTCGTTGTCGAAGAAGGGACGTCGAGAATACCTGGTACGAGCTCAGCGATTGTATAATCCATCTGGATAATTGTGGTATAAAATGTTATGGTTATGAATTATGCTAGAATATTGTGGATCATGGCATTGATCGGCTTCAGGGTGCGGGTCTGGGGATGTGATGACTTGGGATTGGGACTGGTGTTGGGATTCATAGGTATTTAGATGTTGATATGTGTAAATGGGCAATGAATTGGAAGTAATGTTTAACATTGTCACAGTCATCGTCTATACTCTTTAATTTCTGTCTGGGAAATCTGGATTTCTTTGAATTTGGTGTAGTGTAGTAAAAAGGGTGGAGAGGAGACTTTCGGATTGTTTCAAAGAGGGCTTCTGATTTTTGGATTTTTGGATTTCTGGATTTTTGTGGTACAGTCATGGTCTTTCTCCTCGTACTGCTATTAAATCACAATCGCCTTGGAACCTCTCTTTTCTCATATCTCATCATGAGATTCCAAGAATGGGTGGGAATCTAGGAAAGTACAGCAAGCAAGTAAGTACCTAGGGATAAGGAAAGACTTTCTTATTTCCTTCCTTTCCTTCCATTTCTTTTAATTTTTTCCTTTTTTTGTTTTTGAGTACTTCGTATGTGTTGTAGGTGACTTTCTCGGTACTTGTAGTTATAAAGTGGGGATAGGGTATGGATGATGAGGGATGGAAGATGGAAGATTGTATGTGTTGTTATGGTATGGAGTATGTAGTATGCGTACTCGTATGCATCGTCTTACTAGGGAGCTGGGTATCTGGATTGATAGATAGCTTGTGAGTAGGGTGGAAGGGGGTGGTGGGTCTTGATTTGATGTTGATGTTGAAGTTGAAATTTGAAGTATAAGTTTTATTTAGTCTTTATATCGATCGTCTTTTACAGAAATACCTTGGTTTAACTTGGTTATCCGATGGAAGATCGAACCTCAGATAGGTCGATGAATGGTGGGCAAAGGTTGATGTAAGATTGGCAAATGGGTAGAGTTACATGTATTGTCCTCGGGTACTAGTATCTTTCTTTGAATCCTTTTAGGCTGGATTTTGGGGATTGAGGTGGACTTTGAAACTTAGGGTTGTACTCGTAGATAGAGTATGTGGGATTGGGATTGAGATTGGGATTCTTGCTATTGGGATTATAATTGGAATTCTGGGTTAGGGGATCAGTGGACTTTGGTTGCTTGCTTGTAAATTTGGGGAATGGAATTACTCGGAGACTTGGAGGAAATCTAATAAGATAGAGCAGAGCGTAGAGGGATTGAATCACCGATGTGAGGTGGGTATCGGAATTTAAGTAAATATCGTGTTTTGTTAGAGAGAAGTAGCGGGAAGGGACTAGCACTTCGGTGCAGTAGTTCACCGTCGGTGGGTGGGTTTATGTTTCGACATCTTTGAAAAAGCTCCATGTATGCGTGTACCCAATACAAGATGAGTTACTCGCATACCTAGGTAGTTTTGACTCTCTAGACCATCTAGAGCACCAATTCCCATGCAGCAACACTTTTTTACCACGCAAAGACCTAAAACCTTCTAATAAACTCCGCAGGTTTATTCCCCAAAATGGCATCAATCTCCTCAACAATCTCCGGCGTCAACTTCTTCACAGCCTCAAAAGCAAGCGCACTATCATAAACCTGCTGTACCCTACTAGCGCCCGTAATCGCCGAGCTAACCCTCTGATTCCTAAGCACCCACGCCAGAGCAAGACACGCTTGAGTGATACCCAATTTCTCCGCAATAGGCTTGAGCTTACGCACAATCTCAATTTCCTTGTTCCACTTCTTATCACCGACGTTCTTGTTGAATCCCTTGACGAAGTTGTCATCACTGGCTCCGAGTCTCGAGTCCGCGGGAATGCCGTCATTGTATTTACCAGTAAGGATACCGTATTTGAGCGGCGAGAAAGTGGTAAGTCCCAACCCGGTAGTCTCGTAGAGGTGCGCAAACTCCTTCTCCACCTTCTCGCGCACCAACATGGAGTAATTCGGTTGTTCCATCACTGGACCGACGAGGCCCAGTCGATCGGCGACACGCCAGGCGTCGGCGATCTCATCGGCGTCCCATTCGGAGGTTCCCCAGTAGAAGGCTTTACCCGTTGTGATGAGGTGGTTGAAGGCGCGCACGACTTCTTCCATGGGCGTATTGCGATCGGAGCGGTGGGCGTAGATGAGGTCGACGTATGCGAGGCCCAGACGCTCGAGTGAGGCTTCCGTGCCTTCGATTATGTGCTTGCGGGAGAGACCGACGTTGTTGACGCGGTTTTCGCCATTGGCCATTCCCCAGTAGATCTTGGGTGCGTAGAACGATTAGCTATGTTTCTTACCCTTCCTTCGTTGTGTTGCTTGGAAGTGAATCTTGGGATTTGCCTTGCGATTGCAGCGAGGGGATGCTAATAAGGATTGGGGTTTTGAACATACCTTCGTGGAGATCACAAGATCACTTCGCTTCCATCCAAATTTCTTGATTGCTTGTCCCATCACCCTCTCGGATTCTCCGCCAGCGTAACCCTCCGCGCAATCGAAGAAGTTGATACCAATATCGTAGGCAGCTTTCATACAAGCAAAGGTGTTTTCTAAGACCAATTAGTCAAGCACCCAATCACTCAAAATATTGAGGGAATCGAGGGGTAGAAATACCATTCTCAACGTGTCCTCCGTAGGTGAGCCATCCTCCGAGGCCTAGGGCAGAAACTTGAAGACCTGAACGGCCTAGGAATCTGTATTCCACTGTGGAAGTGATGCAGTTAGTAAGGTTCTCATTGCATTCCTCTGTTTCAAAAAATTCCCAATCACCAGGTTCTCCCAGAACATTGGGAGGGATTCCTTGATTACCAGGAAAGAGAAGGCGCAAAGTAAGAATGGGAGGAACACTAACTAGGAGGAAGTCCTTCTGGTACGGCAGACATGATGGCGAGGTCTCTTGCAGATACTTTGATTTAGAATTGATTTGTGAACTCAATTGAAGCTCCAGCGCACAACACTTATCTTGCCTCAAAGAAAACAGGATTTGACTCGATTTTAATGAAGAAATTGGCGTGGATTTCGTCAAGAGATGAAGTATGAATTACCCCACGCCACTACAAGCACGTAATACGTAGGTGGGGTTCTTGGACAGGGGTTGAGCTTTAACCGAATCGGTGGCTGTCGGAAGAATGGGGTGGCTGCGTGGTTTCCAAGCGAGCCAAGGGGTTCTTTTTTTCGGGGTTTACGGACGGATGTGGTCGGGGATAGCTACTTAGTCTATACTCGACTCGTACACTTTATAATCTATGATCTGAATTCTTCACTCTTTACTTGTTATGTAAGTAAAGCCAAGTTTTGCATTAGTATGCTTTGTTATAGAGTCCCTGTTCGCTTTTATAACCCTACCTTATCCTTGCCTATACTATTGCTCCTACTATTACATCCCCTCTAGTCTACTTATTTATTACTTTAGTCCTATTTTTTCTAGGGCTATTATCTTCGTTATTCCAATTCGCTAATACTAATACATCTCTCCTACGGTATCTTTGTAAATACAAGCTCGATGGATAATTTCGCTGGATAATACTTACCTGATAATTCGGCTTTGCTTATTGCTTTGATTTTGCTCTTAGGATTTGTCTTGATAAGTGGTAATAGTATTACTTGAACTGTTCCTTTCGGCGGCTTGTTCTCAATTTGGGATCATTCAAAATATTGTTCTGGCATGGAGAATTCTATACATGGCGGGTACTGAGCTAGTGTACATACTACCGAAAGGTGGCGATGGAAGAGATGATGATGGCAGACTTGCAAAGACTCTTTTCTATGGGGTGTATTGTTGTGGCTTGCACAAGTCTCTCTATGTGTGGTGAAGGCGCTATGCGGTTTATGGATTGTGTGTTGGAGTGTTTGATGACCTGGTGGGTCCAGTAGCACATGTTATATCTACTAAGGGTCGTTTATTTATATCATACACATGCATAATAGCAAGCAGAAACTCTTTCCGTGCTTGTGGATTGGAGGATTTGGTGCAGGGATACTTGAGTACTGATATTCACTTGAAATTCAGAACAATGGTTGCAAGTTGTATACACTTCAATGGACACTCCAAGGTCAATAGGCGTTGAAATACGTGTGCCGATGTTCGAATCAGACTCGCAGAACCAAGATTCACGATCTTTGGTTCTCCTAGAAAGTCGTATGTAATGAAATAGCCTAGTTTCTCCCGAGTGTTCCTCGAGCACGATGACACAGGTCTGTCTCACACCCAACGACTGACTTCTCGTGGGAGAAGGCTGGATCTACTAGAATCAGCACATCAACGTTAGATATCCCAACCCTCCCTCTCTCGCAACCAGGTGAGTTGCAACACGTCTCAAGGTAAAACTACATGCCATCTCTGTCAAGAGTGAACAAGTCACGATGGACGCTACGCCACAATGCCAAATCACCCTCAAATCAGCCCCGCAATTTAAGCGAGATTTCTACACATATCCCAATAACACCCATCACCATCGCCAAAAACTGGGATTAAACCTGTCCGCCTGACCCAGTCAGTTAGTGTGCGTATCCATAAGCGCCAATTCCCGAAGCACCCATTCCCATAGCACCAACACACTAACTGTTTCGATGAATGGCACTTGTAGATTTGCTAAGCTAAAAAATGAAAACTTTCAGTTCGTCTGGTTTTCAACCTTGCCAGCCCGCAGGGCGTAGGTTCTTTTGCCGTTTTTTTGGGAGGGACTTGTGGTGGCTTGAATTCCTTTTTTTCTTGTATGTGTGGGTGGCCTTTTCTTGTTGACGGGTGAATGGGATACACCGCGCACTGATGTTCAATTGTGCGAAGACAAGGGGATCATTGATATTGTGAGGTACTCTTCTGCTAGAATCCTCAAAGATTATGTTCTGTCTGCCTGACGATATCCTCCAGGGCCAGATACTTTTGCGAAGCTTCGTTGTAAAGAGCTTAGAGGTCCAAGAAGCGTGTTTCACGGGAGGTGGTGGGCTTTGGACCCGTGTTGAGGCCAAAGGTTTGACATTGTTGTCATCCAAGGAGCCTCTGTAACTCTTCCAAAAAATCTTTCCTGATGCAGCAAGCAGTATTTGACTTCACATGTGGTTCATTCTGGGGAATGCTCTTGTTGCTATACTATAGAGACAGAAAAACCAACAGATCCCCAGTGATTCTCTAGATAGTTTGAAGTCAGAAGGGACGCGAGGGTATAGACCCCAATACCTTCAAGGTGTAGCGTGCAACACCATGCCCAGATGAAGGCACTTTAATCAACGCTTCAATTGCCATACCTCTGTCTCAAACGAAGAGCACGACTGAGATTCAATCTGAAGGTGCAAGTGCCTGCACAATTTTGGTGAGGGTAACCACTGGCAACGTCCTAGGTAGTCCTTGCTGCTTGTACTTTTCCCCTTGCTCTTGCCTTCTCTACCCCCCACGCTTCTTCTGATTGGCTTAGAGGAGGAAGGAGCGACAGGGAAGGCAGCAGCTGCCTGTCGACGGCAGTGGCACGTGAGTGGACGCGATTTAAAGATCGATGCCAGCCGTCCTCCTCCTCTCTTCTTCTTTCCCACAACAACACCAGGTTTTCGAGTTTTGACTTGACGACCACCACATCCATCCCCTTTCGTTCTGAATTGACTCTGTGATACCTTCACGAGGTCAATTGACATCTCTCTGAGAGGCATTTGAGGTTTGCCCAAGAGTCGAGTACAGGTAAGTTGCGCGCCATCCTCCTCCCATCAACTGCGACACTTGACATCCACAACACCCACACCCACCCACACCTTCCAATCCCCCATTCTACACATCAATTCCATCTCCATCCATCTCATCCTCATCCTCATCTGGCTTCCGCCTTCAAGGCTAAGCTGGAGCCAAAGATCGTGAGATCACTGCGCGTCGCATCTCGATCTCGATCTCAACCCCTCTGCTCTCGCCATCAAGGTCAAGCAAGGACCAATTCTCACATCATCGCACCACGCATCACTGCTCAAGTCTTGCTTGCAAGTCGATCTCGGTACATCATCCTCATCCTTTCTTCTCATCAATTGACTTGAGGCCCTTGGGCCCAATCTCGATCTGATCTTCATCTTTGGCATCTCACATCTCCTTCAGTTCTGAAGCTGAACTTGTTCACACCTCCTCGCGTTACCTCCAACACCTTTTTGAGTTATCCTCATCACCTTTTAGTTGTCCTCTTCTCTTACTCTCGTCTCCAATCATTCTTGTCTTCCATCGTTTTTGTCTCCAATCATCCTCATCTTCAATCATTTTCGTATTCAATCATTTTCGTCTTCAATAATTCTCGTCTCTTCACTCTTGTTGCACACTTCTTTACTAATTTTTCATCGTTCAAGCGCTCCAACCTGAGCCAAAGAAAGCCAACAACAAAACACAAGCCTATCTTCAATCACCTTCAAAATGTCCTGGGATCCTGTTGGTGACACGGGTGCAGGTGGTGGTTGGGGAGCTTCTGCAGGCGCTGGCGTTGACGAATTCGCTTCGGGCAACGTCCAAGACGAGTTTGCTTCGGGTAATGTCGAGCTTGCTCAAGATGAGTTCAGTGGAGGCAATGTTGCTACCGGCGAATTCTCGGGCGGTAACGCTGAATTTTCTGGTGAGGGAGGTGGCGAAGGTGGAGGTGGAGGACGCCCTTTCACCTGCTACAACTGTGGACAGGATGGGTTAGTATTCAGTGAAATGCTAAGTTCTCTTTGGGGTTTTTTGCTAATTGTTCTCAAGTCATGCAGAGGCCGATTGCCCAAACCCAGCAGTTCCTCGTGAGTTCACTGGAACTTGCCGTCTCTGTGAGCAAACTGGTCATCGTGTAAGTTGTCTTTGATGTTATTAACTCCAAATGCTAAAACATTTAGGCTGCCGATTGCCCAACCAAGCCAGCAGACATCTGTAATAACTGTAAGGAGGAAGGCAAGTCACCCAATATACTGAGTTGCAACTACTAACATATGTCCAGGTCACAAGGCCTTTGCTTGCAAGAACCCCCGCAAAGTCGAATACCCCAATGTTGAGGATATCGCTCCTGATGACGCTTGGGCTCAACTTAAGGAGGCCGCTGAAGAACGTGACATGGATGAAATTATGGAGGCTGGCTGGAAATATATTAAGGCCATTGGTGATCTTACATATCCTGCCCTCGAACGAGGTTTCCGCGCAACCAACGTCGGTGTTTACCTCATTGCGATTGAGAAGGAGCTGACGTCGACTTACACGAACATGGACCTGCAAGGAAACCTAGAGAGAAAGTACACCGTCACCTGGCGTCTTTCGGACAAGCCAATGCGCCCCAAGGAGAAGGAGTCTTGGCCAGCCACGCCTGAGGAGAACATGGAACGACTCGCTGACGCTGGTACTCCTGTTGATCGGGGAATTCCAAAGTGCAGCAACTGTGATGAACTGGGTCACATGTACAAGAGTTGCCCCCAAGAAAAGCAAGAGGTTGACAAGGTGGTTGTGAAGTGCTACAACTGCGAGGAGATCGGTCACCGTAAGCGTATTATTTTCGTTGTCCTGCTCTTGATACTAACAACCCTTAGGTATGCGCGACTGCCCTAATCCTCGACCGGACAAATTTGCCTGTCGAAACTGCAAACAATCTGGTCATTCAAGCAAGGAGTGTAAGTCTGATCCAACATGCATTCGATTGAAACATAACGCTAATTATAACAGGTCCCGAGCCACGATCCGCTGAGGGAGTCGAGTGCAAGAAATGCAGTGAGAGTATGTGCATGATGTTCTCTGTTTTATATGGTGCTATGCTAACTCTGTTCAGTCGGTCATTTCTCTAGAGACTGTCCACAAGGTGGAGGAGGTGGTGGTACTTGCCACAACTGTGGTGAGGAAGGCCATCGCAAGTCGGACTGTACAAATGAATGCAAGGTTATTTGCCGCAATTGTGACGAGGAAGGGTAAGTTTCTCCCACTTTGCGTTTCCACTCCCCGCAGACTGTCACATGTTCATATTGGCATGTACTGAGGAAACATACTGACATTTCTTCTTTCTCCAATAGACATACCGGTAGAGAGTGCCCCAAGCCCCGTGACTATTCTCGTGTCAAGTGCAGCAACTGTGATCAGATGGGCCATACCAAGGTTCGTTGTAAGGAGCCACTTCGTGAGGAGAATGATGGCGGCGCAGCAGCTTTTACCAGCGATGATTTACAGGCTGTCAACAACTTGGCTATCGAAGGTGGTGATAGCTTTGGTGGCGGCAATGATAACTTCGGTGGTGAAGTTGAGGCTGCCGGTGAGTGGGACAAACCTGCTGCTACAGAAGCCAGCAACGGATGGGACAACACTGGCCGTGGCAGCGGCGCTTGGTAAATTGGTTCTTGGTTGAGTTTCCTCCATTTGATGAATGCTTTTATTTTCGAAAGAGATATTGTTGGAGAAGTGCTCTAATCAAAAGCTGCAATTTCGATATGACCACAAAGTCGGGGGAGAAAAATGGAGTTGATTTGTGGATACGTAGCCAGTCTAGTTCTAGCAACTGCAATAAAAAGTATCTAATTTATTGACGTGGTCTGAACTTCAACCGTGAATCCTGAACAGTGGCGATGCAATGTGTGCTCAATATTTATATCGAGCATACGTAATCTGCATCTCGCCAGGTGTGTGGTTCAACTTGGGACTTGAAGTGGTGCAAGAAGAGGGGTTATGAGACTATTCCTCATTGTTGCCATCATGTATTGCTGAGTGTGAGAGTTTATGGTAGTTTACTCCGTGTGATGAGGGTTCTCATCTCCAAGGAACCGGGAGAATGTCGGGACCTTGTAAATGAGATTGTTAAGGTACAGGTAGTCATGATCAGTCACCCTTTCACTCTCGTCTTCGCTGAGCGAGATGGAAAGAAAAGAAAGCATTAAATCCGAGGGCGGGGCGAGCAGCTGTTGAATTACTAAGTAAGTCAATAGGTTTATTCTCGTGGAATAAAAGGGTGACGGACGAGTGCACGACTGGGATGTTTACCGTTCTTAGCCTCAAGATGAGAGCTTCTCGGTGGTGGGAAGATAAGGTGGAAGTTAGGAGGGGTGGGGTTGTTTGGTACTCGCTCTATTTACGAAGAGTGCTCGCGTTTGTGACTCCGTGGATTATGGAGAGCTATTTAGCTAATCATTGATAATCGTAGTTACTGTCGATCATCGATTTACTACGAAGATTTGGACTTGGACTTTGGAAGACTCAAAGTTTCGGAGAGAGAAGGACCGTAATCGTACAATGCATATAAATTAGAGCGCAGCAAAAAAACTATCTGGGAAAGTTTTCGGGCATGTCCCGCAACGCCTCAATCTCAATGTGCTTTTTCTTCGCGCGATTAGCTAGTTACATACATCATCAAGGTTGACCAACTACCTAACCCAACAGATCATCCAGACCATTGCCCAATTTCTGTTGCAGCTGATCCTGTGCTGGCTTTTGGAATTGTTGTGGTTGTATTGGAGTCGAGGTTGTCGACGTAGCGCCCCAGATACCCGCGCTTGCTTTTTCCTTTGCCAGTTGGCCAAGGGCAGGTCCCGAGGTTGGAGTGCTGGTCTTCTTGATTCCTACACTTGCTGTGGACCACAAGGAACCGAATGCGTCACCTCCAGCAGCTGGCTTGGCTCCGGGCGATTTGACGGATGATGCACCGGAAGCTAGTTTTGCTTGAGCGCTTGGTACCTGAACGGAGGTAAAGTAATTGGGTTGAGATCCTTGATATGATGTAGGTTTTGGTGCTTGCTGAGCAACAGGTGGAGGCGCGAATGCAGAGTAGTTGGCTCCGCCTGGAGTACTAGCTGGTGCTGGTGAAATGGAAGAGAATCCCACCATTTCAGACAAATTGGCCTGCTGTGGTGCAGAAACTGGCTGTGGTGAAGCGTATTGGGTATGGGAAGTTGTGGTTGCCGTGGGTGTTGGAATGGCAAAGGCTGATGGGGCAGAAGTTTGTACGGAAGGAGTAGCAGATTGGAAATCATCAAAGTCATCGTCGTCGTCCAAGGCGTTCGATACTGGAGCGGCGGCTTTTGGAGCTACCACAGGTGCAGAAGTTGGAATTGGATCATCGAATGAAAAGAGGTCGACTTCTGGTTCCTTTTTCTTGGGGGGTGCAGGCTTCTTCGCTTCTGTTCTTCGTCTAGATGAAGCCGAGGATTCTGCACGCCTCCTAGGTGGTGCTGAACTCGAACCAGCACCCTCGTCGTACTCGTCGTATTCCTCAAATTTGTCCCGTCTCGAACCACCACCACCAGCAGCACCACTGTCATTGAAGTCATTGGTTTGACCACCGAATCCACCACCATCACCATATACACCACCACTAAATCCTCCATATGCCCTGTCTGGTTCCTCGCTTCCAAATCCTCCATATCTGCCACTACTGCTTGACATACCACCACCTAATCCAGCACCACCCTCTACTCCAGTATATTTGTTGCGGGTAGCTCGGGACTTTTTACGTTCGGCTCGAATTCGTTCGACATCACTGAGAAGCTCTGCGAGTTCCTTGGCTCGGTTGCGAACGTTGAGTCCTTGATCCTTTCCATTCATATCGATATAGTGGAACTGTCGTAGCATTTTGAGTAGCGTAAGATGAGACCTGGCATCGTCGATCACCCGCTCGGAACCGTTCTTTATCAGGAACTCGAGGAGTTGAAGGGCTTTGTATATCTGTCTCCATTCCTCAGCTGCCTTTTCCGTAAATCGTTTGTAAATCATTGGCATAATTTCATTGAGCAGTTGACTAGTTATTTCAATCAGTGTTGGCCAATTGGGATATGGCAGATATGCTAACTAGTTGTATGTTCCATTGGCGATTTCTTGCATCTAAGGGCAATTAGCATAACTACCCTCGAGGTGGTCTTGGAGCAAAACAACTTACCAAGCTGGAACTGGCACCCCATGGTTCGTTGTTTGTGGCCTCTCTAACCTTTGCCTCCATCTCGGTATAATTCATCACAGCTGGAGGTGGTGAGCATGTGGCCAACTGGCAAGAGACGTCGACGTACCATTTTGGACCTTTCGAACACCGGCCTTGATGTCGTACAAGGACAAATTGGCGGCGGCATCCTTCAGACTGTTGAAATCCATGGCTTTGTGTTTGTAGCAAAGTCGAGTGCGATGAACTGGTGTGTGAGATATTATTGTGGATGCGATCGAGTGAGGCTACCTACCGACCGGGAATTTGTGAGTGGAGTCGCAGCAGGAGGCTTGTGCCAAGCTTCAGCTACGACCTGAGTATAGCTCAACCACGTGATGAAGAATTCATTGTTCCACCTCAGGTCCCCGCTGCTTTCACTCTCACTTTGCCAGTTCCAGGTCTCAATAAAGTCGCCTATTTTTAATTGATTTTATTATCATGGCTGAATAGCCTTCATAACCTCAAGCGCCGAAGATTTCTGTGCAACTCTTTTGCCCATCATCGAAAATTGATGATGAATTCCTGGCCATGGATTTTAGCCATAGCTAGTAGGTCAGCTCAAGTCCAAAGTCAACTTGAAACTTGGTTATACCACAAAGCAAGCGCTCTGATGGGGAATTGACGACCACAGCATCGAATATTCAAACACAGCCTCATTCCTTCATTCAATCGAGACATCAAAACAACTCAGAGCTACCCTGCTTCCGACTAGCAAGGAATCATGGCCTGGAACCGCTGATGGCCAGCGGTCGTGTTTCCAGGCCAAATGAAGCCTCTGGCCACAGGACAAGCTTCTTGCAATGCCATCAACTTCCGATCACCGTCTACAAGAGAGCTCTATGGCATCAAGACCCATCACCCATCTTCTATGCGGCCTGTCATCGCGCCTACTTCCAGCCTCACGGGACGCTCCGCGTAATCCACCGTCTCGGTCAGTACACACATTGGCCAGAATATGAAATGGCTGGGAATAGGAATAGCATCGCGGAAATTACACGAATCTAGATTCATGCCGTGGCTGCGATAAACGCATGGCATGGCATCACGTCGTTTCTTTTACCGCGAGCAAGATGCGATTCATAGGCGTGCAGTGGTCTGGAGTGGATTCAAGCTTAACACAATCGCTTGGTCGCTCCTCAAGCGCCCAACAAGGGGGGATGGATCCACAAGCGAAAGCTCGTCCATGTGAGACCTCATTGGCCAACTCAGCGCCAGTCACGACAATCCATTGTATCAACAATTTGTAGACTCGTTGCACGGTCTGAAATTTCTTTGTTGGTAAACAACATAGGTGAGACTGTGTTAGCTCGTTCCACAGAAAATGTTCATGGGCGATGGATGAGTGTTTATTTAATACTTCTGATTCCGCTGCCTGTTTGCTTTCTCTTCTCTATCTCATTCATCTCATCACTTTCTCATCTCTCCTACAAAAGTCTTTTTTTCCTAGGTCATTTCCTTTACGGTCTCTTTCCTACTTTTCCTACTTTTCAATTCAAACCGTCTCGTCAGACATTCGGTCATTCTTTCACTGCTAGCAGTCAAAATTACTTTTACAATTTCTTCAGCAAATCGGGTTTCCGCACCGTACTGCGGCTATACTCATAACTTTCCATATCCCGATCGTAGACTACCTTCCAATCCATATCTCGATACATCTCTGAATTCATTTACAGACCTCGACTTAAATTCCCCGTTAGAATATCAAAAGAAAGCTTTCCAGAAAAGTCGTAGCAACACTACTCGGTCAATCTTCCAATTCTCAACCCCTCAAAATAAATCAACTCCCACCACCAACAAGATGCCTGGACCCAACCACGGAGCCCTCGGTATGACCTTCACGGTCGTCCGAGCCATGCAAATGGTCTGCCTCATCATCATCATCGGCCTCACAGCCAACTTCGTCGCCGAAATCACCGACGCAGACCAAACCCCACCCCAAGTAATCATCGGCACCCTCTCCGTCGTGCGTTCCATCCCCTCTCCTCCCCCATTACCCCACTAACACCCCCAGACCTGCATCTCAGCTCTCTACATAAGCATAACCTACATCCTCTACCACGACAACCAGCTCCCCCTGCACCTCACCAGCGCCTTCGACACCCTCCTCTTGATCGCCAGCATCGTCGTCGCCTGCGTCGTCGGCAAGCCCCTCTCCTACCTCGACTGTCCCGCGCTCCCCGACGCCGGCACCGCCTCCTCCTTCATCCTCTCCATCGGCGAGAACGTCAAGAAAGTCAACTATTGGGTCTGGGCGGGCGCCAGCAAGACGACCTGTTTTGAGATGAAGGCCATTTGGGGTCTGAGTATTGCGCTTTGTGTGCTGTTTGCTTTTAGTGCGGTTTGTGCGGCGTGTCTTTGGAAGATGACAAGGGAGATGAAGGGTGCGGAGAAGGATGTTGAGGAGGGGAATTAGGAGGGTTAAGGAGGCGAGACGAGAAAGGCGAAAAGGGGATAGGTGAGGATGGATAGTTTACATCCCGAAAGAAAAACACGCACACTCGCTTCGATCAAAGGCTTAAACAAAGACGGAAGATGAAAATGGTTCTCAGCAAATTGGGTAATGGTCTGTTTTCTTTGGAGTTTGTACTTTTGTTTTTCTTTTTCTTTTTTCGGGTTGTTGGTAATTTGGGATTCGGAACCACACCTTCACTGGTCGTGTTCCTTTAATGGACATGTATGCTTGGGCTCGGGCTTGGAAAAAAGGGGATAGGGGATTTCAATCTGTTTTAGAAAAATTAGAAAAATTAAAAAAATTGCATTTGCGTTATTATTTACCTTCTCAGGATATGAAATCTTACTCTGGAGCCGGACTGATAATTTTGCTAAGCGAGCTTTCTGATTCTCCACGCGAAGAAGCCAGAGTCGGCCAAGGGTACAGGTTTCATTTTATGTGATTAAGACCCCTCTATCATTATAGCCACCCTATCTACACCTCTTTCCCCACATCCAATCCGCTCCGCTCCGATCCGATCCGAATACTACCAGACCACATAACAAGGTAAAGCTCTCCATCATCAACCCATTATCCCCTGCCAAACTTTTCCAAAGAAAACGCTAAGAAGACCAGATGAAGCACCCCCAACTAGTAAGACAAAAGAAAAGAAACAAAGCGCCCCATGCCTCTCACCTCATTAAAAAGGTAATAGAAAGGGAATCCTTCGATTGGGTCGCAAAAAAAGAAAAAGACGGAAAACTAAGAGTAAAATTGACTCTTCTGGAAACTCTCCACCCCAATATCACCGGCCTTTCCCGCAACAGCAGGGGCCTTCGAACTCGTAAGACTGCTCGTCCGACTTCCACTCTGACTAGCACTCTTGATCTCCGCAATCGGCTTCTTAACCGGTCCAAGATAAACTCCAGGTAAATATCCCATCCTCTTATCTCTAGATCTGCACTTCCACCATTCGCTTGGGTTCCCCATCGGATCACTCTTGCTCAATACTGCAACGATATCACCTTTCTTGACCTCCAGGTCGATTCCTTGGACTGTGGCTGCTGATTCGGGCGTGAAATCATATAATACACGACAGAATTCGTATTGGGAGGGGTCAAGGGGTGCCTCTATCATTTGACCGTCTGGACCGATTTGTCCTCCTGCTGCCATCAACCTTCGCTGTTCCTCTTCTTGTGAGGCGGCGAGAGATTTGATGAGTTTTCCCATGAGGTAGGGGAGACCAAAAGCGGCTGCGATGAAAAAGAGGAAAGGCTTTTTGCTGGGTCGTGGTGCTGATGCTGGGGAACCGTCTGGAATGAATTTTCGTCCTTCAAAGCTTGCGAATGCGCTGGGGGTTAGAGCCATTGCATCGGCTGGTGGGGGTCGACCTGTGATTTTTGCGAAAAGTGTTCGTAGCCATCGGAGGACGGTGAAGATTCCCAGCATCGAACCTAGAGTATTCTTTAGATTCCCAAACTGTTCCGCTACAGATACCATTGCTATAAAAGTCAGCGTTATCCTATCAAATTCGATGACTAGGTAACCCACCGAAGAAACTGGAATGAGTAGCCATATATGTACTCTCCAACATCTGCGCAAACCCCCCAAAAGCACCAACGATACCCTCGATGATCTGAAAAGTCGCCTGTGTACTCTGCGTAAAACCTTGAGTCAAACTCTGTGAATTATTGGGATCCATGCCTCCCATTCCACCATACATCCCGCCCATCCCGCCTCCATACATCCCTCCCATACCTCCCATGCCCATCCCACCGTACATACCGCCTCCATATCCGCCCATACCCATACCGCCCATTCGTGAATAGGGTGAACTATATGCAGAGCCAATACCACCACCATAAGGCGATCCTATACCGCCCATACCAGTTGCTCCGTACGGCGAGTATGCCGTCGCATTTCTATTTACCGCACTCGCGAGTGTAGAAGGGCGTTCAGGAATCGCTGGAGCACTCGACGACGAAGTTGCCGCAGGAGCGGAAACGGCGCTAGTAGCAGAGACAGTAGAAGTAGGTAAAGCTATAGAATCGCACATAATCAGTAGTCTGTCGATCGAGAAATAACATGCCTTGACATAATAAGGATCACGAACCTGTACTTGCGCCCACACCTCCATTCCTCTCCCATGGCTTGGGAGGCGATACAGTCGCCATTGTGTTATTGTCGAGAAGCTACTACCTGGATCCCCAACTATCACCCTCTGCAGAGCTGGTCGTTTGAATTTGACACACTCAGTGGCGCGTTGTCGGGTTCAGGTTGGGTTCCTCGGCTCGTGATTCTGAAGTGAGCGAAAGCGGCCAAGGAGATGTCAAGGACGCCTTCTCCGGAGGCTGGCTTTGAATGTCCACGCTGATTGAGTGCCGAGATGGTATTTATCGCACGATAGGTGGGCTTGTGCGGGAACTTTTTATAATAGTGAAAAATCCTTGATAGCGATTTAGTTGTATTGTAACGGTTTTCTAGAATGCTGAAGTAGGTTTGGCGGAGGCTGGCTTGGTTGACCAAATGGACCTCGGCTGAGGCCCGTGGCGATCGACCAAAAAGAGGTGAGCCAATGCCTGTACTAGAATATGTTGGTACTACACAGTAAAAAACCAGAACTCAGAAACTTCATTCTATTTCATGAATAATGACTAACGGCCTGCTTGGCTCGGCGTGAAACGGAATATATATTTAAGGTCTACTATATAAACTTGGAGTTCTATCTCCTGGAGTCTTGATATGTACATTTCGATTTTTAGCGTTGCGATTTCCTATCTGGGTGATCGGACCGGTCGGAACAATACCTCCGCGGGCTACGGAGCTTGGTGGTCCGATTTGCTCTGGCCAATTGAGTAGTACTATCGTCAAGTACCAAGGCTCAAAGTAGATGCCTCAAACTCAAAGATCGAAATGTACATATGAAGACTCTAGGAGAGTTTAGCTTATATCGAATGAAAATAAAATACTACTCCGAACACTATAATCTGTCTTTATTCGGAATATACTATAAAAAAGGGGAGTATAATAAAACCCCGTTTTTACTATACGCGGAAATATAGTGCGAGTCTACTTGAAATCTACTATTTACAACAAGCACTTATTCCCGCCACGTAACATATTACGATTATAAGCGCAAAAGACAAGACTTGCGAGTAAAGCACTAGCACATATGTTAAGGACACACGATTAGCCCCCGAATTTAGGAGGGTAGGACTGGAATGGATTTGTTTGTTTACTTAAGGATTTACTCCTGCCTTTGGAACGGTAAGAATAGAAAGCCTCTACCTTAGTAAAACGGTAGGGATAGAATGGGATTAGCTTCTGCCGAAGTACACGATAGAAAAGTACGAAGAAGCTACTTCGTCTCCGGCGAAATAAATGTAACTTCTCTGCGGTAGCTTAGGCGAGTAATAGGGTAAAAACCAATGAAAAGGCTACATTTATTTCACCTATAAGGAAGTATGGCCTACCTTTTAGTTCTTTATACAGGATCAACTACCCCGAGGATTATGGTTTCCTTTTACGAATCACGAGTGTCTCTTCCGGGGAGGGACAAGAATTAAGAACATACTCTTTTCGGAATAAGCGAGCTCTCCTGTTTGGGGCGACGAAGGTCCTTAGTCATTCCATAATGGGACATTAGACCAGGGGGACGCCTCTGGATATTTGCCGCCAAGAATTTCTTATTTGTGTCTGATTTTCGAGCTTAACTTATAAAGCGGTCAGAAACATTGTTTCAAGCCTGCCCGACATGAGGCTTCAATATTATACCGCGATTCGATCACTTTTGTCAAGTTCTAATACGCGGTTTTTGACAGTGGTACGGGGTTGCAGTTAATAAACCTATACCCACATATGTCTGATCCTTGCTAGGAGAATATCTATAGTTCTAAGGGCCTGTTGGGCTCGGAATGCGCATCCAGGGTATACCATATAGATGGCTCTACACTCCCAGTGTCAGATTAACTCGTAACGAGTATAAGGAACCTTTTGCCCCGCACATGAATTGAAAGACAAGTACTCGAGTACTACTCCGGATACAAGAATCTGGCACATTTGGAGTGTTAGGGTTGACTATTCATGGTCTTTTGGGAATCCGAGGAACGAGGAATAAATCGCCATCGAGACGAGAGGATTATACTAGATTGAGCATAAGGGTACGCTATCGAATAATATCCACTCTACTCAAAATGCGTATTCCGATCTAAACACGCCCTAAAAACTAATAGAATATATGTTTATAGGAATATTACCTAAGCTATAAAAGAAAACTTTAGTCTAGGTATTCTAAGAATCCTAATCTAATTATACATAGCTAAACGAGGATTCTTGTGAAAAGGACTTAATTTATCCCTACCTATAATACTCGTATACGGGGGAGAGACGCGAGCTGTCCAGACCCTTCACTATGGTATGTATTTCAAGCTTTCCGGGCAATAAACTACTGAACAATGAGCAGGTTACCAGGGACGATCTACACAGCCTCTTCGTCTGGAGGGTTTGACTTGAACTTCCAACGGTTAAACGGCAAAACATTCTACTAGTAGTACAGTAACTTTCCGTAGCCTTTTCCTATCATCCAAAAAACGACTACTGTAATAGTCAGTGCGTTTCCCTCGGCGCTAGCGATAGCACAATGGACGAAACGAAGGCTGGGCATTGAGACGAAACCCCCTGCAAACCGTTATCCCCGGTATAAAAGAATGCTTGGGTAGATTTGGCCCGCGCCATTACTTGTTAGCTTGTTTGTACGCCCACGTAGAAAATTCGAGGCATTTAAAAAAGGGCCTACAGAAAGTCTACCAAATAAGTAGAGCCTGTTCATTGCGAGAGCATAATCGTGAATGATTACAGTACCGCTACCGCTGACAAGATACCCTTGGCGATGCTTGAGACGAAATAAATAACGAGAAAACACTACCGGTAGGTAGGACCTCCTTGCCGCGGGGCTTCGCCAATTAGACTTTCTATAATATTTCAAGGATTATGGGGTCGAGAAGGGGGTATGACCCTGCATCACTATATTGCGGGAAGGGTACAGATTAGCGCGGGCCTTACGTAGGTACAGTACACATCTACAATCACTATATAACTTAATAGCATCCCCATTACACGCATCCCTACTATACGAATTCTCATAACATCAGATCCAGTCATAAAATCAAAACAACATTCTTCAGTATGCAACTTCCAACTATTCTCATCTCGATTGCACCGTTTATTACGACAGTATACGGCGTAACGGTCTTTTGCGGTCAAAACAGCGTGGGCATTCCTGCAGGGGCAAAAAAGGCTGTCCCTCGCCCAAACTTGCTTTTTACGTACGTCTAAATCCATTTTCTTATAACTGGCTCCGTCCCGATACGATTAGCAAACATGATTACTGATAGATATATAGTGTACAAATTCAATCGATGCAGTAAATGAGGAATTCCCTGTCAAGAAAGATTGCAAGGGTCTTGTAAGAGATAAAAACAATGTAGTCGTTGGATGTGGAAACGGAGTAAGTTCTATGCTTCTTTTTTTCACTTACCTGACTAACATTGTGATTTAAGAATCAAGTTTGCTGTTAGAATGCTATTGGTTGCAATTGTGTATTAATTACGACGACGCTGGCTATATGTCGTTTGTTATTTTGCGCTTAGAAGGGGGTTCAAATGTTCCTCTGGTTTTGAGAACACATGAAGATGAGATGTAATTTGTGTCGAGGTAGTTCAAAGTCTCAGCTAGGAAGCACTCTAAATAAACACATTGAACTCGCATCAATTTGCTTTTCCAATTGCCCTTACTTCAAATCAGCAAAAGCCGGAGCCTTCTTCATAAACTCAGCCCACGTAGTTGGCTTCTCACCAAGAATTCCAAGCGACTCATCCAAAGAAGCACCACTATAATACCCAAACTCATTCATCAACCTCATATTCTGAAGCAACTCCTCTGCAGCATGTTCAGATTGGCCCATCATCGTAACGATACTCTTAAAGATATCATGCGGCAATTCGTTATACTTAGCAGTCTTTCCAGCCTCTGGGAATGCAAGTTTGAACTCAGTAACCAGTTCTTCTAGAGTGTAATACTTGGTAGCACCCAATATTTGCTTGCCAAGAATGTTCTCGCGGTTGAGTAACATTGCTTTGACAAATTTTCCAGTGTCATCGGCGGTGTCCAAGAGAGGGACAGGCGAAGAGGCGGGGATTGGCAAGGAGAGAGCCCAGGTATTGTCAGGAGATTGTCGGAACATTCCTCCTGGGAGGTTGCTCATGTAGAAACCTGGCAAGAAGAAACTTGCTGGAAGTCCAATGGATTTGATGTACTTCTCAACCTTGGCCTTGGAGTCGAAATGGGAAACCTGTGGGAGAGCACCATTGGATACTTATTGAATCAGTACGAGAAATTTACAGAAAAGTTACTTGGAGAACACTGACGCTCTGTCACATTCAGCAAGCTACTCCAGATAAAGTGTTGAACACCTGCCTCCTATTGAGAGTTAGCTAAGTTCTTGCACAATGGCGAAAAGTGAGATCTCTGTACCTTTGCGGCATCAGCCATAGCTTTACCTTGTGCCAACTCAGCCTCAGGAAGTCCCTTCTCCCAGTAATTGGTCACTGCGAAGACTGCATATGAGCCCTTGATGGCAGCTTTGACAGACTGTGGATCATTCAAATCGGCCTTTTTTCCCAATATCAGTATCTGGAGCAGATTCTGGAAGGGCATATCACTTACAGAAACAGTCTCAGCACCGAGACTTTCCAAGGCTTTAGCTGAAGGCTTTGTCGTATCACGAGTAACACCTCTGACGGTCCAGATTTCCCTCATCTTAGAGTCTCCAAGAATGGCTTTGACCACGGAACCTCCTTGGGCACCAGTGGCCCCAAAAACGGTAACGATTTGTTTAGCAGACATTTTGATGGTTTGTTGGGGTTAATTAATAAAGATTTTGGGATCTAAACTTGATAAAATGGGTTTTGATTGTATTTTACGATATTTAATGTAGGATGCTTGTATGTGATCAAAATGTAATGATCAGATGGTTTGAAATGCAATGAAGATGGGAAACGACTCGTACTTAAACTCCGCCGTTCTGGCCTACAGTGCTTCGAACCTGCTCATACTACGAGCTAGTCGAAGCAATCATAACCCCGACCTTTCAAGTACGAGGCTGAATAATAAGTCTCCGTTGTTTGAGCTTTTGCTTCCAGCATTCTGGCGACAGGTAATGCATTACAATCACACGATCAGATTGACATAGGATTCCGGGTCTGCCTCCAGGATACCGCGTAGAGATAAGGGATGTGTTGTTAATCGCGAGACGCGAGGGACCGGATTACAAACCAGGCTACGTGGTGGTCAGAGAAGTTTCCTTATTCAAACACAGTTACTCTTGTAGCGCTGGTGGTCTTGATAAAATGTCTCCGGAAAGTTTGCGAAATGTTGCCGAGCCATACAGTAATCCTACCGAGTGGCACAGCACATACAGTACAGTATTCTCTTGGCAAAACGACCCACTCAGCATGAGGAGGCTCAAACAACTGTAAATAAATAAATGCAAATAAACAATCAGTACGATTCAAGTTCATTTCTACGCTCTCCATAACTGTAATCTTCACACATAGATGTGAATACGCACATAAGAAGAGAACCCTACATTGAGCCGATAGTGTCACGGTATCAACTACCGTATCACAAAAGCAAAAGTACGAGCACACCACATTTCTACTAATTTCCAACTTACGGCATCCTGAATGTACTAAAAGGCCGAATAGACTTAATACTAATTCGCAAATCGTAAATCTTGAATTTCAATCCTATTTAGTATAAAATCGTAATTCGTAAATTATAAACTAGCTTAGGGTTAGGGTTATATAGCAGCGCTAAAATTAAAGGTAAAAGTACTCGATATAAGTAAATAAGCTTAACTTTAACTCGAATACTCCTACTCTTAAATTTAACTCGAACGCTCTTTTAACTCTACCCCTCCCCCCTCTATATAAACCTCTTCTACTACTAAATAACCTTAATTACTACTACTACTAAGAGACCTTTGTTTATAAATTCTATAAAGGAGGAGGCTTCTACCTTAGGTTCTATACTATAGATATTGTAGGTTACTCTTACGTTCGATTTTATACTATAGATATCGTAGATATCGTAGATTACTCCTACTAGTAAATATTAGCTTGTCTTACTATCGATTTAGGTATTACTATCGATACCTTTATAGCTCCTTACTGTAACGAATACTCAAACTGGCTAACTAAACTTGGCTGGGTGTTCGCTGGTTGGTATGCTATGATAAGAAGAAGACTATCGGGTTGTTCACTTGGAAGTGAACTCGTTACTTGTATCAAAGATGTCAAA